TAAAGATAAAAGCTCCTGTCAAGTGTTGTAAAGAACTTTGAAGTATCGATTAAGCCTTAAATAATTTCTTTCCCTTCTACAACTGTACTACATGAGCAGGAGTTTCACTTGGTTTCATACCACCATGAACAGTGTTCAGCAGCAATTCTGTTTTAGTCCAGTGAACTAAATGGGCATTGTCTTCTCAGAGCATTCAGCTTGTCACTACTGATGATATGTGAGGTGCTCCTGTACCAAATACAGTCCTTATGTCTGAAGCCCTGATGCGTTCATAATGCTGAGCAGCATTTATGGGTTTACTAATTCATAGGAGACACACTCTCTCTTTATTATTAAAATCTGATGTTTTGTACAGGGATACATGGTGACACAGTGTACATGACTTCATTAATACATTTGTTTCTCCTGCCCTTGTTTTCCTTCAAGGCCAAAGAGTGCAACACGGGCAGGTTTCCAGTTATTCTGACAATAGGAGGACATTTCCCATCCAAACTTTTGCAGAAATACTGGATGACTGCTTTAAATGTCAAACTACTGAATGAGATAGTAGTCCTGCCTTGTCTTCTGTTAGAGTTTTTCCTCTAAGGGGCAGGATTTGACAATCACCCTGTGACACATTGTATCCAAGTTTACAAGCCTGCAAGTAAAGTAAATCAGGAAAGGCTTCTCTTATGAATCCCACAAAGGAATTAGAGGTGGCTGCAAAATTGTTTTGTTTGTAAATTGTTAAGTTTTATACCTTTTCTCTCTTTCTTGGGGATACTACTTGCTTTCTTATGTACAACACAGTGTTTGATGTGCCTCCTCCATAAGCTCTTCATTGCGACAATTGCTTTATATTACAAGTATGTGCAAAGCACTTGGGGAGCTTAGTTAGCAACGCTTGGCAGCCTTACAATCTAAAAACATTCCCTCTTTTTCCCTTTTCGAGAGATCATAGAATCATAGAATAGTTTAAATTGGAAGGGACCTGAAAGCTCATCTGGTTCCAATGACCCTGCCATGAGCAGGGACACCGTCCACTAGACCAAGTGGCTCAAAGCCCTGTCCAACCTGGCCTTGAACACTTAATCTCTCTTAAAATATGGGATCACACAGAATCACAGAATGGTTCAGGTTGGAAGGGACGACAGAGGGTCATCTGGCCCAACCTCCCTGCTCAAGCAGGATCATCCTAGAGCACATGGTACAGGATGGATATTGTAATGTCAGTTTAATTACATTCTGATTCAAATCTTCTACATTTTGTGCCGATTCACCTTCACTGTGGCATCAGAAGCAGGGTTTTTTGGTTTTGTTTCTACTTATTGTGAAAATTACCTATGCATATGGTTTTTATACTATAGTTGGTACTCTGGGACTCCAGGGAGTAGGAATTGTATTTCTTGTTCCATGACAGTCAGAGCTTTGAAAGTAATTAAAATAAATACTTTCATTATGGATAAGCCATTTATGGAAATATGATCTCATCCAGGCATTTGCAAGATAATGCAAGCCAAGTAAAAAATCCTGGGGGTTATGTGACTTTGAAACTACCTCTACAGTCATATAAATTCCTTCTTTAAAAAAAAAGAAAAAGGAACAAAATGTAGTTTAGAGTCCTCACCAATCAGTAAAAACTGATTTTCAATTTTGTTTTATACTGGAATTGCTTTATAGTTTCTAGGAATTGCTTTGTAGTTTTGTTTTTGCTTTCCTTACAACTGGTGTCAAAACCAAAATGTCATTGCCCACGAAAGCCTATCTTTCTTTTCTTTAGTTTTTTTTTTAAATACAGACTGTTTGAGTTAGTGTCATGAGTAGTTAAGCAGCCTGTGGGATATACTGTCTGGAGACTCAGTGTTCTTAGTGGATCTGAATGATTAAGTTTGGTTTTGTTTGTTTGGTTTTAATCCCATTTTTCATCCTGTAATTTAAAAGAGAAGCCTGCTGTCTTCCTGTTTGTTCCACATAAATGGGAAAATGTGCAAGTGTCTGGATCATTGCCAAGACTGTAAATGAGCCCTGCAGCAGTGCTGATGGGAATCATAGCTAAGAGCAGTTTTGTGTGTTGGTCAGAGACCATGTTTCAGAACTTACAAATGACTTGTGAGGGAACACCATAGCAGTGGGGCAAGCTGAGAATATACTGGGTGATAAACTTTGCTTCTGTCATTTGATTACATCAGATCATATGCCTTTTCTCTAGCTAATAGGTTCCCAGATCTTATTTTTTGCAAAAAGTAGCAATCAAAACTTAGTAGTCTTTTTGCTGAATTTCCCTTTTGTTTCATAGCAAGGTTTTGATCATCGCTTCCTCACTGCACTTGATATTTGACCTTTCTTTGATTCACCTGTTACTTGCAGATTTTTGGCATTTGTGACAGAAAGGATTAGGCATATATATATATATATATATATATATGTGCAAACTTTTCAGAATTCAGCTCTATAAAGGAGAGGAATTAAATTAAAAAAAAAAAAAGGAGGGGAAGAAGAGATTTGGAAGAGCAAGGGCTTAAAAGGAGGGGAAGAAGAGATTTGGAAGAGCAAGGGCTTAAAAGAATGGCTAAACTGGTGTACTTCCATGTTTTGTAGTATATTGACTTCCAGGTTTTGATCTCTGGAAAGCATTAGATAATAGCACACTCTACAAAGCCAAGATGGGACGAGAGAGCAGAAAATTCCATTAAGCAAATGAGGTTTTATAAGTAGGGAAATTCAGGACACACAAACCACTGGATAAGATTAGTCATACACCTGGCTGTCCATTGCGGCTCTCAGCATGGTAAGAAGAGATTTGTCAGTGAAGAGGTGAGAGTTGTCTGTCTCTGGGTTTCTGAAATGTGTTCTACACCTATGTTTTACACAGCAGTGTCTGGAAAGTATAAATCACAGTTTTTTTCCTGAAGTAATGAATATATTTTTTAGCCAGCTGTTGAGCTCTCACAGCTATTAGAAACATCAATAAAATTTCAGGTTAATTAACAGCTGAGAAAGTGAGGCCCAACAGCTGACTGTGAGGCTGGCCAGTAGCTTAGAATCCAGTTAATGCCAAAAGAAATTGTTTGGCTTTGTAGTTTTAAATTTTGCAGGTATGTACTGAGCAGCAAATGAAAATAACAGCCCTTATAACTTATGTACTTATTAATGAAATGAAATTATTGAGAGTTATTATAATTGACTGTTTACTCTTCTGTTATTCTGTAGAATTTGCTCTGTTGACAGGAAAAGACGTATCACAGTTCCTTCTCACTGGTACTTGTCCATGTACCAGTAAATTATATGGATTGCAGAGAAATTTGTGGAGTTCATATCAAGAAATACAAAGCACAGCATTCTTAATCATTTGTTGTTAGAATTAGATTTATTTCTCTGGAAAGTTCAGGTGTTCTGTAGCTCATATCTCTCCTTGCAATGCTGAGGTAGGCTGTGTAACACTTTTAAGATGAGAAAATCCATTTTGCCCATTTCAAAGAAAAGAGAAACCACGGAGAAGAAACTCGGCTCAGAAAGTTTGCTTTGCTGTAAAGGTAAATGCTAAATATCTAAAAAAGAGTTTCTAGTGCAGGACTATTGTACTTCTGAAGAGTAGTGTGTCCTTTTTTATTGCCATTACCTCTAGTATTTATCCAAACTATTTGGCTTATTTTTATGAAAGACTGAGAGTCAAGGCAAGATAACATATACAGACAGCTGTAAAATTGCCATTACACAATGGTTTCCTGGGAACACTTTTTATAGTAAAATCATCTTCTATAATAATAGAATCAAGCTCCTGACTGGTATTTTATTTACAAAATGAAGCAAACAATCAAACAAAAAAACCCGAACAACCTTGGAGTAAGGCGTGACATCCTTTAGTGAAATATGTTTTTTTCTGATGAGAAAAATATTTTTAAAGGTGTTGTGCATTTCAGTGTGCAGAAACTTTTCAGTCTGACTCTCAAAATGCAAAGAAGGTTATTTATGTCTTTTTCCAGGAACATGTCACGCTCATCCATGGACAGGTTCTTCTGTACTTTGCTTGTAGCTAACAATCAGTAATGCTAACTTATCTGATGGCCCTAATTTCCTTGTGAAGCAGAGAACAGTAGTTTTTAGGGGCTGAGAAGTTGTAGGGACCAAAACATTAGTGTTAATGTGATTGGTATTTGCTGGTACACTTATCCCAGGGAACTCATACTATTTCATACCAAGCAAAACATAAATTCTGGCACAGGGTAAATTTTATGCTTTGAAGGAGAGAGAACAGTAGCTCAGACTCTCTGTCTTCTGTGAGGGAGGAGGGATTGAAAGGGAGGAAGGGAGATGGGGAGGACATCTCCAGATACTAAACGCATCTCACCGCAGCTCTCACCACGTTGCCCCACCAGATGTGGTAGATGACATCACATTCTCACTCTCCTTCTCTTTGAAGTAAGGTGTCAGATGGGGCTTTTAGTTCTTATTCCTCCTGCTGAGTTCAAGACAGGACAAGCCTCCCCTCATTAATTGGGACTTATGAATTGTTTTTTGGATGCTCATTATCAAATTACTATAATACACTTACTGGAAATATCCTATGCTGGGAAATCCTCATGTCAGGAAATAATTAGTGGCTTGTCTCACATAATACATATCTATCTGTGCCTCTTAAGTAATTACTTGTAGGCATTTTTCCTTCTTCGTTATACTAATAGAAATAAATTAAAGGACTGATTATAAATCATGCAAAACTTGTGGTTAAAATATGAATGGATTCTGACTCAAGGCCAGGGTTGATTGTCTTTCACACCGGATTATCTTTCTTTGGTGGTCATATGTAGGAGACAGCAATAAGTAATCCATTGGGTATTACCTCTGGGGCCAATAGATGCAGCATCTCAGGTGGATCTCCTCTATCCCAGTAATACATGGTGCTAAGTAGCTTCTGATGCCTGCTCTAAAAATTGAAAGGAGCTGCGGCACATGGGTGGGAAAGGGAGGCAATAACCAATGAAACTTAATTTTTTTCCTTCCTCTCTCTCTTTTTTTGCAAGGTCCTGCTCTGTATAACATATACCTCTACATTTGAACTGAATGGGAGTTCAGTGTTGAAGATTGCTGAGGTAAGTGCCTCTGTCATACTGTTGCTTGTGTCTCTTAACTTTTCCCCACTACCTACAGCATGACTTCCTTACATAACGTGGAATTAAATCAGTCCAAAACATAACTACCATTCTCTAGTATGAAGAAATAGTTGCAAGTTGGGCAGGTTTGACAGGCTTGCATGGGAAGGCACTTTTGGAAATGGACCCATAATTGTATATTACAGTGTTGCACATTTACTACTCGTATTTACTTTACTTTGCTTTTCTTCTTTATAAAACAGCACTGTGCTGATTTCTTACTTACTTCAAGTCTAAAACTAATGAAGTTTCCTCAAGAGAGGTGTATAAACCATAGTGTGTCATGTTAGCAGAAGTGCCTCAGTGTGTCTTGTTAGCCTTGTGTCTATCTTTTTCCTAAAACGTCTAAGTAAAAGATTTAAGCATGCCTCTAGATGTATGATGCCATTAGTCACTGTACTCCCTTTATTCCTTTAGATTTTAGTCTGAATTAAATTGTGTAGGATCTTTTGTTGTAGAAAAACATACCTGCAGGTATATTAAGTAAGCTTTTATACGTGGGTGATATTTTTAGTACATTTTGTAGCAAGCCATGGTGTTTTTTGTTCAGGTTAGAGAAGATGCTCAGGAATGCTTACTCCTCCTGCGCAGCACACACTGTTGTGTGCAGAACGTATTATAAAATTATATTGTTAACATGGTATGGGCAGAGGAAATCCCCATGAAAAAATGTAAAGATTATATATGTGTCCTATACTCCAGGTGTCTGTAGACATATAGAGACTTGTTCCTTCTCAGGTTTTTGTTATTGTGGGTGAGACTTTTGTAAAAAAAGAAAACTCCCATGTGAAAGTAGCTCAATTTACCTGGATATTACAGTACGTTCCAAGTTTAAGAATAAAATTGACCTTGCATTGTTCTACAGGAAGCTGAGAATGGGACTGTAGAGATAACCAGAAACTGAAGAAAACAGCGTCTATTTTGTAACAAATGGGCTTTAAAAGTCCACAGTTCATGTATATGACATATACAGGAGAAAAAAAGGTAGTAATTGTTCCGGATTAGCACAGCTTTGGTTTCTCCTTGGGCTAGGTGAGACAGTAAGATATGCCTATGATGCTGCAGCAAGGATGAACTGAATTGGTGTTTAAAGCAAGTCACAGTTTTTTAAGTTCTACTAAACCCTCTTTATGCCACTGTCCTAAACTGAAGAAAACAGATTGTTTCCCCTACTGCAGTTTTTCTCAGTGGACTTTCTAACATGCAAGGCAAAAGTTGATGAATGCAGCTTAGTGCGTCTCTTTGCTGTAGGTAAAGAGCTCTAGCTTAAACGAAGTACTTCCTGGGAAAAGTATTTGTTGACTCTAAACCCTTCAGATTTCAATCTTTAAGAGCACTGCCTAAGACTGGGGGGAAACGGTCAATCAGACATGTTCTGTGTGTTATAAGCTGTATCAGAAATCATATTTTCTGTTCTCTGTGTAAATTTGGATAATAACAGGGCTGTTATTCATAAAAAGCATCCTGGAAAATGGCAGTTGTCTCTCAAAGATAGACATTAAACACTGCTGTTCTTGGTAGTTGCACTTTCACTCCCAAAGGCTATCCTGGCTCTTAAAAACCTTAGCTAGTGTACTGATACAAATTAGCACAGTGATGGTTCTTTTCTGTTATGGTGAACAAGAGCTCAACAGCAGGCAGATGAGGTGTGCCACAAAGTAAACAAAACTCATTTCCTTCAGTGAATTGGAACAAGCTGTAATACAGAGTGTACATGTTTCTGTTTGGAGTGTTTGGAGGTACAGTTATTTTCCCCACAGTCCTTGAGAAAATACTGCCTCAGTGAATGCCTAGGTCATTCTAAATAGCAAATCCTACCAGGCACGTACATGGTTCTTCCTGCCCAGGTTTTAGGTAAGGCAAAGACTTTAACAGCTGGAATCACTATGCCTTTGTATCTGAATTCTGCAATGCATAAGCAGTAGGAAACAGAAAATAATTTCTCAGTTTAGCATTTGGTTAACCTTCTGACTTGCTCAAAGGGAAAAGTGGCAAAAGGAGCTTTCTGTTCCAGTGCCCATGCTATTTGACATTTCTTTCCAAGTCAGTCCCTTAGTCCCTTTTCCTAGCCTGTACTCTGTAGCAAAGTGGGGCCACTGCAGAACTGGAAAGGTACTGCCTTTGTAACTGATAGAACTCTGTGAGGACTCTCTCTGAAAAACAAAGCTACAGTCTAGCCATTTTGCACTGCCTGATCATTTGCAATTCACATGTACAAAATAATGGCATTCCAAAACTTTCTGAACCTTATCAGCTTCAAATTAAGAAAGCATCCAACATAAAGAGTACTATAATTTGTGGCTTAAGTATTAATAGTATTGAAAATAGATTAATAGTATTAAAAATATACTAAATCTTCCCCTGGGCACCTTCCCATGCTTGCGTAGACACCTGCAAGAAAATTTAGTTCATGCTGTTTCTTGTTTTTATGTGCTTATTTGTTACTCCCATGTACCTTTTGAAGGTTTGTTTTGTTTGACTCTGTTGTGTTTCATTAGCTAACCCTTCTGTGTTTTGCCCTTAGTTGTGTTTTGCATGCCATAGAGCTGGAAGTCCCCGAATGCATGAAATGATCAAAATGTCTGTTACACACCTCTTTGGAGCCCTGAGCTCTCACATTTTTACTGATGCTTCTTCATCAATGACTTTTCAAAAGGTACCTTGCTCAGCCATTTAGAGCTCAGGCCTTCTGTAAGATTGGAGCTCAAGTGGACAGTATTGCTGCTTACTAGCTCACATGGGGAGGGGAGAGAAGAAGGAGATATCAACCATGTTCTTTCCAGAAAGTCAGCCTACCTTTAAGAATGGTATTTCATCAATTAATTCAGGTACTCTAGAAGAAAACTTACAGCTTGAAAGAATGATCTCAGCAGCACTGGAATGGTTTGGCCTCTGCAAAGGGCTGTATATGGTTAACAGGCTTTTAGGTTTGTTTTTTTTGTCCACTGGAGTTCAGGTGATAGCTGAATGATGGGCAGAGTTGGTCCAGGCCTTTTTTTAACTTAGAGGACTGTCTTCATCACTGACCTTAAACTAAATAAAATCCTTTATATATCTGGGGGATCTTAGAACCTCAAAAAAGGGCAATAAGAATGAGGCATTCTGTCAGTTTGGTCCCTTATATACTGCAAATGCATACAACTAACCCATTCTACTGTGTTGTCAAAGAAGATAATCGGTCTCAGGTTGTCATTTGCATAGTGTTTCTTGCATGAGATAATGAGCATCATACATACATTTGAAAACCTCTAGGATGCTCTCTCTCTGTTTAGTTGAGAAAGGGAAAATAAGCCAAGAGCTTCCATGTGTGATGTCTCGAATCACTTAAGATATTTGAGTTTGTATTCAAGAAAACTTGAAAAATTGGTGGATATTTACATTGCAGACATAGTCTTGCAGGGACTAGTTACAAGTAAGTATCAAAAAATGAACAATCAAATACACATTTAATGAATTATCTACAGAGCAAGGCAAGTGCCAAAATCACTTGTATTTGACAGGAGACTTTGCCAGTTTTGCCCTACCATTCTTGCAGCTGTGAGACTGATGAATTGCATGCTGCTTCTAGATACTACTTACTTGGTTTTTCATACTGCTGAAAACTTCTAATGTGGTAATACAGCAATAGTAAGGAAGGCTGACTATCTGCATGCGAGAGACCTTGGTATCGATACCTCCTAAAATGTGTTACTGGTAAGTTACAGTTCATATCTTTGTACTACTATCTTGTTTCCTCATCAGGTTTGCATTGAGACATATGTATCTAGCTGTCACCAGCGGAGCATTAACACCGCTGTGCGGGCAACCCTCAGCCAAATGTTGAGTGACTTGACTTTACAGTTACGACAAAAGCAAGAAAACATGGTGAGCCTTCTGGCATCAACAAATGGTTCCATGTCCATGGCTGCATACCTTTTTGTTTCTCTGAATGCAGTGTGTTGTACTGGCTTGTTGTGCCTTATGGCTTTTATTTGACACTTTTGCAATTAATCCTGTTTAAAAGCTTTTTTTGGGCTCTGACTCTGCCTGCCTCAGAGCAATCTATCGGAAACTCAGCTCTCACGTTGTCAGCTCTGGTTGGCTGATTTTAATTTTTTTAAAATTTTTTCCCCCCTTCCATTAAACAAAAGAGACTTTGTTCTGATGTCAGGCTGCCTTAGCCTTTTTCATTCTTTTGTTTTCTTTGCTTGTTTTCCTAAGATTCATTGAAATCCTTCTGCTAAAAGTTTTTGCATGACAAATATTTACATAAAGAAAACAAATTCTCAACTAAGGAAAGTGTAATTGAGGTTTTTCTTCTGCTTTTTTTATAGAAGATAATTTTAAGCTCATGAAATTCTTAGCTTGGTTGTTAGCAAAACAAAAATAATTCTATTTATTGCATTATTAGAATCCATAAGAGCTCTCTGAATGAAATCCCAGCACATTTTTGGTGAAACTGTAAATATTCTGGGTACACATGGATTTACATTGACTTTTTACATTCGTTAGTGCTGCTTTCCTTAATATCATATTGTCAAAAAAGTACTATTTGTATAAGTCAGTTTCTATGTATTAGGAAATTTTAAGGACTGTAGTTGTGCAGATTATTTTCCTCTACATCTGTTTTGGGTTAAGACAATCCCTTCTATTTTGGATTAGTAAACTAGATTGCTTTTATCCTACTGAGCAACTGCAGACCAGAATTGTTCAGTTTAAGTAAACCTGTCTTCTGTTTGAGCTAAGTAGGTTCATTTTACTAGCCAAAATATTTACCAAAAACCCCAAACAAACAAATACAACCAGTAGTTTTGAAACTTCAGTTTGGGTCTACAAATTTTGTTACTTTTTGGGTCTTCTTTTCTTAACTGAGGACTAGGTAAAAGCATGTGAGAGCTGCATTTAATTCCTGGCAGTTTGTTATTGATGCTTGAGAGAAGAATTTGGCTTGACCCCTTTGTGCACTAATAGGAAGAATCCTATTCCACACTGCATGATGTAAGAGGTCATTTCCATTTTGTGACTGCCATTAATTCTGTTGATACTGTAACTTTAACAATGCCAATGTTCTAAACTCTCTAATTCTCAATTGATTTTGGTTTCTAAGTACTCTGTGAAGCCTAAACTATGATTTCCTCTCAGTTATTTTCAATGAGACTTACCTGCCTAGTTATTGCTAAGTTGTTTTAGGTGTAGGAAATCCCTTAAGAAGTTAGAAATTCTGGTTCAGCTCAATAAGATGGGAGTTCCTTAAATCTAAATGACTGTTAAAACAGATCTTAAGGATTTTTAAAAAACATTTTACAAAAGCTTCACTTAAAGAAATCCTAACAAACAAAAAACCCAGAACAGACAGAGGACATGAATTTGTTAAGAAAGCTCTGCTGTCAAAGTATTGCTTCTATGGTGTTTTTCTGCTCCTTGCACCAATTACACCACTTTTGTCTTTCCTCAACAGACAATTGAAAACCCTGACACCCTGCAAAAATTCAAGAGTCAAGGTACTTGTAACACTTTTTTAGTGACTCCTTACACTCCAGCTTCTTTATTCTTAACTTTCCTTTCATCAACACAGTGCAGTTTGATGTCATGGGAATTGCACCTTCAGGTTTTCGTACCTTCTCCGTAGCTTGATGTTCTCTCTGTTACCTGTGGTAAGAACTAAGACAGCCCTGTTAGCTCCTGGTATTTTCAATTCTGTCTTCATTTGGACCATGGTAACAGCATTGCATTCAACATTGTAATAAATTATTGTTTCAAGATGCTAACTTCTGTAATTAAGGAGTTTCTCCTTCTGGAGAAGGTTTTAGTAAGTGGCTTTACTTCCTAAATTGGAAGAGATTCATGGAGTAGGATGTGGAATCTGTAAATGATTGTGTTACTATATTTCAGGCCAAAGATACTGTTTTTATAATGGCCGCTTTTGAAAGCACATCACTATTGAAGGTGTGCTTACACTTGCCAAATAATTATTTTACCGGAGAATGTTTTTCTACTCCCATTCTGCCTTAACCTTCAACATGTTCTCTGATAGATAAAAATAATCCCTGCTTTTGACCTTCTCACAGGATTTCTGCAGAACTTGTGTTAATGGAGGCTAAAATCTTTGAAGAGCACAAGCATCTTCTTTTAAGATCAGAACCTGGTCAGACACCAGAAGCTGTATAGGAGAGACAAACTGCAGGGAGAGAGACAGCAATTGGCTGCCACGTAGAAATACTGGAGCCTTTTTTATTATTTAATTGTATACTTATTCTATTATCTGAATTGGATTTCAGCTAATCTTCTGTAAATGCATGTAAGCAATCAATGCTCTCTCTGGATTTAATACTGCTGCTTTTGCATTTTGTGGAGATCACTTTCTAATTTAGGACTTTTCCTACTGCATCTTCTCTGTCAATTTTGGTAGCCTTGCTCCTTGTTCAGAAGCTCTGACCAGCTCTGAAAGTTCATGCAGTGAATTGAGGTTATAATCCAGTAGCTCATATGTAATGCCTCTGATCTTTGTCCTTTTTGGAGGTACTTCAGTGGAGTCTCTTTGTGATGATGTTGTATCTGTCCTCACTGTGCTCTGTGAGAAGCTCCAGGCTGTCATAAAGTGAGTTATTTCAGTTTATAATTTCAATTTATTACCTGGAGTTTGAGAGTTTCATTGATACATGTGATTGTACTGTTGTAGTTCTGGAATTAGGGAGCAAAGCTGTGGTTAAATGAAGTGTTTACTAGAGAAAGTATTGCTCATGATGCATTCATTTAATCCTTGCTTGAAATGAGGAGTTAATTTGCATTCTTTGTGCACTGTTCAACTTTAAAAAGCTTCCAGTAAGTCTAACCTGTAAGGAACTTCCATACAGCAGCGAAATACTTATCGAAGGAGAAGTTTTCTGGCTGGAAGCAACTGTCATAGAAAGAATAACAAGAGCCATGGAAAGACCTAACAGAAACTATATTCAGAACAAATGAATATGTACTTCTTAAAAAGGCAGCATTTATCCAAGCATTATCAAAGAATTCCTTAAATTTAGGAATATCATACACTCTACTTACTTGGAAATGCACGAGCAGAACTTTAAAATGGGGTTGTTATGGGCAGTAATAGAGTGTTATATGCTCTACAATTTTCAGGAACTTACAGAGCCAGAAACAGCACAGACATCTGTGTGCAATTTTTCTATAGACTTTCCTCCCACAAGTGTCTCTAATTACAGCAAGATTTGAAAGGGAAGAGTGCCTTACTTAGCATTATTTAATCAGTATCAACATATGGGAAAATAAAATCAGGAGTGCAGGGATGCCCTGTGGATAACCATGCGAGTGTCAACTGCAAGATGATGATGATCTGCATTAAGACACGTTGTAAGAAGTGTATCAGTTCCAGGCATCCACAGGTTCTTTAGTATTCTTTCTCATGAAGTTTCCTTCATATTTATGGTTCTGACAGAGTAACTGGCAAGGCACTGAAAGGTAGCTATGTTATCATGCAACTTTCTGCCTGTAGACATTGACTTCTGACAATTGTGGCTGTCACCAAGAAAAGAGGAAAAAATAACCAGAAGAGAGCAGCCTAAATGTGCTTCAGGTTATCTGAAGACACTATCCAAGTTCAAAATCTTCTATTGTCTCCTTTTCCTCTGTTTAAGGCTTTCTACCTTCTCAAGTTTAGATTGAATTTGAGTAGTTACTTCTGTTTTATTCTTCCTCTTTTTTTCACTGAGATTTTTTTTTTAAGTAGCAGATCACTGCATGTGGTCAGTACAAAATAAATCGGATGATGGTGATCACACCATTATAAATGGATAGAAAGAAGCAAAATAAATCAAATGCTGTAAAGTATGGTATAATTTTCAAGTGAACTTAGTTATTTTAGAAAATTAAATAATCTTTGTTTTAATATGATGTGAATGGGATCTTTTTGCCAGTGACAATCAGCAACTTCAGCTTCTTTACTTGGAGTGCATCCTTTCCATGTTAAACAGCTTCTCTCCCAGCATGCGCCAGCACAAAGGATTCACTGACCTAATATGGTGAGTACATCTGAAGACTAATGCAAATACTAAGTTTGTAAATATAAAAGGACCTTCTCCCCCAGCCATGCAAACAAACCTGTAATAAGCCTCCAGATGTGAGCAGAGCTTGATGTTAACCTACTGTCAGTTCTTTCTGTGCTTCATATAAGATTGGGTAGGACCTCCTGCTTAGCGAGCACATTAAATCCTGGTAGTGAAGTCCAGTGTATTTATCCAGAACAGAAAATCTATTATGCTTTCTGCAGTAGTTTAGATTTGTGTGTGGCATTAAACACAAGGATATTCTGCTTGTCATAGGAGTGTCCTGTAGAGATTCTTACTGGTCTGATGCAGTAATACAGGAAGATAAGCAAAATTAATGTCAAATGATGGGCTGGTGACCAGAAATGCTTATGACCTGCATTGTGTACGGGCTGAGGCTAAATAGTCTTCATGATGCTACCCCTTTTATCAAGAAATTCTCTTTTTTATACACTTCACCAGAAAGGCTTGATGTCTTTAGTGTTCATATCTACCTCTAAATTGTTTGATACCATCACCTCAGAGCACCTTAAATAATCCTTTTCCTTCTTTTATTTGAAATAGTGGAGTTTTTATAGCCTGTGGATAATTGAGTCATAGTAATAAAGCAAGAATGTAGCTAATATGCAGTTCCTTGCAGTCCATGCCCGTCTTGTGACTTTGTCAGGTGATTGTATTAAGGAAAGATATATGTGACTGTTAATGGCAAATGTGTTTCTTGTACTTTTACTGTGTAATTTTTGAAACTGAAGTGTTTGACCTGGGCCCAGTTCTAAGGATGGAATGTGTAATGGCACCCATAACTTCCCTTGCTGTCCCAGGAACATCAGTGACTGCTGGACTAGGAGGTCTTCAGGTTGATAACACTTGGCAGTGTTGCACAGGGACCCTGTGCTGAGGCCTCTTAGAGCTCTAATGTAAGAGCAGAACTCTCTTTTTCGTGAAAAATCCACTTCAGAAGTTTCTGCCTTTGAATTTCACCCAACCCTTTGTTTATGCTTATGTGACTGACTGTGGGGCCATCGTATAAGCACGGTCACTGAAATGATCTTGGTTAAAAGAAAACACTTCCTGTTTTATTTTAAGTCTGCATCATTTTGATGATCCAGTTCATGCTGCAAATCTGCAGGTGTTTGTAACTATGTACCTTCAGGGCAACCCACCAGGGCTTCTTTAGGGACTTTTTAATCTGCATTGCTGCCAAGGAATATGCATCCTTCCAGCTACCTGCTTAAGTGGGAGGAAAAAAACCCAAAGCACTAGGAAGACATGAAACGGTTTAAACTGCAAACATCATTTTGAATATATAGTAGTATAAGTACATACCAAACATTACCAATGTGGTGAAGTTGTGATCCCAACTGGTAGCTGTTGTTATTCTTATATGAGCTGTTGCCTAAACGCACATACACAGCTTTCTCTCTGACTGGTGCTTTATAGTCAGTTCTCAACAGAAGATAAAGAAGGGAGCAGGCAGAGAAGATTTACCTCTGTTCTTCTGACAGTGTTCTCCATAGTTTGATACAGATACACTTTGATAGGACTAAAATGTTTGGGGAATATATTGGTGTTACAACCTGTGATTACACCTACTTTGAGACAGGCACATTTCTTTAAGCAATAAGTGTGAATTGATATGATTTGAAATGTACCTGGTTGGAGAAATAAATAAGCAGACTCAAAGTCATTATCTGATTCTGATTAAAGCTGTTTTTCTTTCTGTGACTTCAGGAAGCCAAGCTGCTTCAGCAATCATGTTAAGAGAAGCAACAAAAATTCTGGACTGCATAAAAATCTTGAGAAAATAAAACGTACTTACCTGTGAGGATATATTTACGAATCGTTACCTGTCATTGGGTGCTTGCTCTAGGCACTAGCTTGAACCTCTGAGACATGGGTAAAAACCAAGTTTGGGACTCATTCTAATGCAGCACTTGGCTTCATAAATTAAGGTCTTGCAGACTGAAGTAAAATGTCAAGTGCATGAGTGCAAAGCTGAAGTAACAGCTAATGGAGGAAAGTGCTGAGTTGGCTTTGGCTCTGCCAAAGAAGAGTGATCTGCTGGTGTTGAATCACTTAACATGAGTGCTCATGCAGAAAGACAGTTGATTATTTAGTGTATAGTGGCATATGAGTAATCATTGTGCACACTTTGAGTTATTGTGGATGGCTTTAATTGTGTTTTCAAAAGCCAGCAAAACAGTCTCACAGCTGAGGGTGCTTACTAAAATACATGCATGTGCAGTTCAGTGGTGGAACATTTAGGTATTCTAGTTAACATAGATTAGTACTTGTTTGGTCAGGTTTTTTAAAGCTCCTGAGTTGGACTGAAGAAGAGACACTTAGCAGTAGAAACCTGGAATTTCTACCTTGCAATCATGTTTCTAAAGCACCCAAAGGTATTTCCATATGCACTATCATGCTGATGCTTGGGAGATAAAAAAAGCCTGGCATAATTTGTTGTTCTATCTAAACACTGCTGTTGACTGATCATTAAAACAAGAGTGTGTATCTCATTTAACCATGGGCTATTTTCAATCTGTTCTTGTGAGATTATTTTTTTCTGTTTACCATCTGCTGCTTTTCTCTTTCTCAGGAAGCAACTGTGTCCAGCCCTAGTAGTAATCTTGGGAAATCCAATCCATGACAAAACTATCACCTCTGCCCACAGCAACATCTGTCTTGAGGCTGATTCACCTTCCTCAGGGATCTCTGATCATGGCCGAGGTTCGGGTTGTTCCTCCACAGCACCTGCCCTTAGTGGGCCCGTTGCACGGACCATATATTATATTGCAGCAGAACTGGTTCGACTGATGGGGTCTGTGGAATCCATGAAGCCTGTGCTACAGTCTCTATATCACCGGATTTTGCTTTACCCACCACCTCAACATCGAGTAGAAGCCATCAAAATTATGAAAGAGGTAGGATAATCACGTGTGCAAGTCCAGGCAGGTAAAGCAAAATGTTTATTTAAGAGTAATGTTGCTGATATGTGTATACCAATCCATTTCAAACCTTCCCACCTAGGGATGTTGAAATTGTCCTTTCTGAGCAGAGCTGTTACATCAACACCACTCTGACAAATATCTTTAGTTTTATGAAACCATAATAGCTCTATTTTTCTCCATAACGCAAGTTACTGTGGCAACTCTGTCAGTGTTTGTGCTGTGGTACTGCAGGGAGCAGATCCTATTGCTGAGTCATGACTGCTCTTTTGGGTGAGATAGAGTATAATGAACCAGTTCGCAGCTTCTTTGGCATCTTTCCCCACTCTCTGCTCTTGCTAGAAGGAAACATTCATTCTCACAGTGTAGTTTCCAGGCATTAAGGTGAATATATGCTTTGATTACTTGCCATTTTTTTGAACTACAATTTCTTTGAGCATTTTCTGAATAGCCACAAGGAAGCTGCTAATGGCTTAAGCAGCCATTTCAAGACCAGTCCTTTCTGGCCTCTTGCCCAATGCCTCTGAGAGCACTAGAACTGGAGCACAGTGAGACTTGTTTGAGCACCAGCTAAAATCATGGACTCTTCCATTCCACATGGGAGCTTTCTTCTCATGTTGTGTAACACAAGGCAACTTACATAATTTGTGGGAACAGTGGTATCTCTTAGAGAGTTTTTCTTCTAGCTTCTGCATACCTAGGCTGTTCTGTTTCTGAAGATCTCTCTTAACACCACACAGCCACCCACTCGGTTGTCTGAACTAGCAGTCATCCTTTCATTTGTCTTTCTCTAGTTCTAAATAGTAGCAAGATGATAACTGAAGTTTTAGGAAAAGCTTAGTCTAATGTTGTTTCCTGCAGGATGTATCTGTTGCCTCTTTGGGCTTATTAATATGTGCTCGTTTGTAATGCCTTCTCCTTGTATTTCATGGTGGGCATTAACAAGGTGCTACCCAGCAGGTTGAGTCTGAAGGAATGCCTATCTTTGCATGACTCTATAATTTTGTAACTAGGTGACTGAAGAGAAAGGTTCTCTTTGGTATAAGCTATAGTGCAAAATATTTATTTAGGCATAAAAATTCTCTTGTGTGCAATATCAATTGAAACATATTCAGTCAAAAATCTAAAGCACTGAAGAGCATTCTGTATGTGATTCTTGCTGAATATTCTGCTCTTCTCTGTTTGCTTTTCTGCTTTTAAAAACAGGAACCGTAGCTTTAATAAATAGAACATCAGTGTGCTGCTTTCCTTTGCTGTGAGAAGTTGCAGCACTGCTACCTCAGGTTTAAGGCTTGATAGAATTATGACTTACTTATTGTATTTAAATAATGCTTAGATAATCCTCTACTTACTTCTGTTTCCTTTCCTTTCAGATACTTGGCAGTCCTCGTCAGCTTTGTGATTTGGCAGGGCCCTGCTCTTCTGAGTCAGAATCCAAGAAGAGGTCTATTTCTAAAAGGAAGTCCCATCTGGATCTTCTCAAGCTGTATGCTTTGTTTCCTCCCGTAGCCTCTTCTCTCTTAAACCTGTGCACACAGGACACTTAAACAGTTGTACCTTCAGGAGCATACCCAATATGAGCCAGGGTATCTCCCTGGTTAAATAAGCTGTGAAAATGGAAAAGGGGTAAAAGCTCTTACTGGTTTGTCATCACTCGGCCTATTTGTAAAGGCATAGATAACTACCTTGTGGAGTTTTTAAAAATACCCAAATATGTTGTTTTACAGCTGGAAATTTTTGGCTATGGGTCCCTAAACTTGCAATGAAATAACCATGTGTTTATTTAGAGGTACATTTCCAAGATGAAGTCAAAGGGGATCATAAAAAATTTAAACATTGTCAGATTGAGCAAGAAGGGTAGTCAGCTCTTGTAAAGATCATATCTTGTAGACAAAATCATTTTCAGGACATAGATTGCTTTAAATTTAGTTCATTTGGGTGCTGAAATTTTTTTTGCAGTTTAAGTGCTTGTCTGTAAGGGAGAACATGCTGTGCATGTTGGTATAAATGCACAGTAACTGTTTCCCTGGTTGGCACTCCCTTTACAGAATGTTTGTTTTAATACTGGTTGTCTTTCTTGGGAGTAGTCCTATAAGTTCACTTCATTTTTTTTCCTGGTTATGGAGGGATGGTGTTGAATGACAGGGATGTGCTCCTTATAGGTGTTGCATCACTTAAATGAACTCTGTATTGATTGCAGTATCATGGACGGGATGACGGAAGCGTGCATCAAAGGTGGTATTGAAGCATGTTATGCTTCCGTGTCCTGCGTCTTTGCCCTGCTTGGAGCATTAGATGAACTGAGCCAAGGGAGAGGTCTTAGTGAAGAACAGGTCCAGCTGCTGCTCCAGCGCTTAGAAGAATTGAAGGATGGGACTGAGACGAGCAGGGACTCCATGGAGATCAATGATGCTGACTTCAGGTGGCAGAGGCGCATCCTGTCCTCAGAAAATCCTGCCTGGGAATCAGGAAATGAGAAGAGTCCTGATATTAGCATTAGTGTTACCACAGACACTGGTCAGACTACTTTGGAAGGGGATATGGGACAGACGACTCCAGAGGATAATCCAGAAAGTCAAAAAAACTCACTGCCGTCTCCAGCTGGACATGAAAGCAAAGAGATTCATTACAGAGAACCAGAGTCAGAAACCATTGACCAGCCAGATGTTGTTCAAAGAAGCCACACCATAGTCTATCCAGATATAACTAATTTCTTATCAGTTGATTGCAAGACCCGGTCCTATGGATCCAGATACAGTGAAAGTAACTTCAGTGTAGATGACCAGGACCTTTCTAGGACTGAGTTTGATTCATGTGATCAGTATTCCATGGCAGCAGAAAAGGATTCAGGCAGGTCTGATGTCTCAGACATAGGCTCTGACAATTGCTCCCTGGCTGATGAGGAGCAAACACCACGTGATTGTCCAGGTCACAGGTCCTTACGTACTGCTGCTCTCTCTCTGAAATTGCTGAAAAGCCAAGAAGCAGACCAACACAGCGCACGGCTGTTTATCCAGTCACTTGAAGCTCTCCTTCCTCGGCTTATAGCTCTTCCCAGCATAGAAGAAGTGGATGGAGCACTGCAGAGCTTCTCTTCAACATTCTGCTCAGGTTTGCAAGCAAATACTTACTGTCTAACCAGCATGCACACTCTGACAGCACTGTACACAGAGTCTCCTGTAGGATTTCATCTTCGGAGAATATCCAGAATAAGGAGGTTTGGGCTTTACAGAATACATTCCTTCACAGCAACACACTTAATTTAGGGCAAAGTAAATTGAATATGCAGGCACTGATTCAAAGTGAGGTCAATCCATTGACTCTTAACAGGCTCTGGATTACATCCTCAATAAAGAAATGAAATTTTCTGTAGTAAAATACCTCTTCCCAGCTCTGTAAATATCTGTTGAGAAGATTTGCACATGCTGTTGTTAAAGAGGTTGGGGTTGCCCTTTAGCGTGAAAGGGATGTGGGGAATACCATCACCTGTTTTGAATGAGATTTAAGTACCTCAGTACATCACTGCATTACTGTTAATAATGCCAGCCTCACAAAAAAAGTGATAACAATTCTACAGGAGTAAGCTCTTGAAAGGATAGGAAAAGAGGAGAGGCACTATTCTTCACTCTTCTGTTTTTCTTAATGTTGTTGTCTAATACAACAGGAAATGCAAAGCTCAAAGCCCAGATAAAGTGAAAAATTAAGATCTTGCCTTTAAGAGTTTAAATACCTTCAGTTCTTTCATGGTTAGAACCTTTGGGATCTTGACTTGTCAAACAAACAGAAAAAAGTCATGTAAAGGCTAGTTTGTCCTGTTGATAGTATATTTAAAGTGTGTGTAAATATATATATTTAGAAGCATTTTGCTCTCCTGACAGTGGCCAAAGTGGAAATGTTTGCTAAAATATATTTCTCTGTTTCTTTGACTTACTTTACCGCAATTGCCATTCCTATTGCTCCTCTCCTAATCATTGCTTCATTCATTTGTGCTCCCTCACATTAAACTCATACAGAGTCAGAAGGGCTGCCTCCCATCATCATACAGCAAAATTTATATATGAAGCTGGGCAAATAAGCTGATATTCCCGATATCCTGCTTAAATGCTGCCCAATTAAGCTCTAATTCAGGAAGATGGCAGATGGTATTCTTAAGAAACATTAGCCATTTTGTATTATAGAAAGGAAATACCCTAAAGGAGGCAATAATGTTACTTTCCTAATTGCGGCAATCAAGAGTGCCCTTTCTGTCATGGGGATTTCTTTTACCTGAAAAAGAGTGATCTTGAGTTTATACTGAAAGACCAGTGCTAGACCTCTATCTCAAACTTTTGTGCACCTGTTCCCTCATGCATGAATGAGTATACTGTTTCTTTTCTGTTTTGTCTGTTAAGTCTTTAATTTAGAGTGTTTTAAAGCATTGGAAGATGTGGACCTAGGAGACTTCCAGATTTTTAAGGCTAAACGTAGGTTTTTTTGCTGGCATTAATACCATTATGATTATTATAGTGAGAAAGATGGAAGAATATAAATCAATTTCTGCGTTAAATCCATAATTTGTGGTTTGTACATATCTCTTAAAAAGATACCTAGTCTTGGACTTAGACTGTTGAGAGAGACCTTTCACTTTCCCAAGAAAGCCACGCGTGGCTAAATCTGTACTTTAAAAATGTACACCATGTCTCCACATGGATTTAGTGAAGTACTCTTAGAAGATGCCACTCATTAAGGAATCATGGAAAAGTAGAGCAGCAAGTTACTGTATTAAGACATCCTAGAAGAGGTATCCTGGTGTTTTCATGGAGATGTGGCTGAGGCAGAGTTGTACTTTTGTGCTCTCATAAGATCTGTGTGGTTCATGTTTCAGTTGGATACCTGGAATGAGACTCAATCCAGCTGAAACAGTACTTTAACTTGTACATCAGATCTTAAGCAAATGTCCATCAGTCCTCTTAAGGCGAGAACTTGTGTTCCTGTGTATGTGAGAGAACCATGAGTTTGAAGGCCTGTTAGAGAGAGAGACTTACTAAAGTTGAAACAAACATCAGGGGGTAGGAACACTTCTTGGAGAGCTTCCACCTACCTGATCTGCCTCTATAAGCAACGTTGAGGTCCTTTTTCAGGAGTCCTTTGTTAGCACCAGCAATTCAAGGCACAAATTTTAGGTGATGAAGTTAGAGGGACTGATCCTATTCATTGTGTATACAACATCTATTCATGTGTAATTCTTGAAGAATACATTAGGAAATTTGAATATTTCTTAAAATTCAAGTTGAGAAAAGAAGCAGGTGCAGTTCTGAGACCAGTCAGAACAGAAGCAATATTTTTGTGTTTCTGGGAGACCTTATTTAACTGCTTTATTTCATTTCCCAATTTCTCTTACAGTTTGGGGGAAAAATATGATTTAGTAGTCTTTCTTACAAACTAGGTTCTTAGATAGCATTGCAATATTAGTATGTTTTCATAGGATTGAAAAGCAATGAAAGGAGGTAGGAATTTGAGGCACTGCCATGGGTCTATAAGCATTGAAAAAGTGAAGTCAGCTAAACAGAGTTATAGTGAAATTAAGATTTGCAAGTAAGCTGGTTAACTCCTAAATTAACACCTTAGGAATACGTTAGCACGTCTTTTCAGTCTTTTCAATTTTGATTCCATAGTCTTTAGAGGCAAGGTTTCTGTTGGTAACATCAGCTGATCTTCTGCTTTTGAGATCTCAGAATCTCTTAAATGCAGTTTATTTCCCCATATTTTAGAGGAAATTGGGGATCATATTTTTCCTAAGCACTTTTTGATGCTACTGCTATGTAGTATCCGCTTTTCTGTGCAGTTCTACACCTTCCTTTTTAATTGTAGTCTTGTATTGTTGCACAATTTTTAAAATATTTTAATGCAAAGTAGAGTGGGCTTTTTGTGGTTTTTTTTCTTTTACATACCTCTCTGCCTTGAGGTTTTTATTACTCTAGCAGATTCTAGTCTTAAAGATAAGACATCAAATCAATGAGAGATAAGTTAGCCACATCAATATCATGATCCTCCATCCAACAAAGTATTAAGATTCATCTTTGCCTTGAGCGATGAAATCACTAGAGCTACTCACAGGCTACTTTCAAGCACGTGGTTGAAACAGATTCTCTGTTAATGTTCACCATGAGAAATCTACCCCAAGTACAGCCTGTGTGGGTATGGTTTGTAGCCAGCCCTATCACTCCTCTTCCACAAAGGTTCCTCCCTTGAACAGCTATTCATCTTTTAGACCCACCCTGGAACAGTTACTCTCTTTCTAAATCCACCCTCAAACAGTTACTCACCTTATCCACGCCCCCAAAGTGACGACAGTGGAAAGTCCGAGAAGGCAGCAGCACAGAGCTTTCAAACCCTCACGAGGCAAGAAAAACATTTGCTTCTTTTCTGTGTGTGGATTTTTTTTTTAATGTTAATGGTTTGTTGTATTTTGTCTAAGAAGAGGTGTGAGCTTTATGGTGGGAGGAGTATATTCATGGTTAACCACTGCAGCAGTTAACAAATGACACAGCTTTGCTTCATAATGTAACTAACCTTGGAAGCTGTTTTTTGTTTCATTTCAAACGTTCCTCTAGGATAAAGCTTACTCCTTGATCTTCACTAATTGAAATTATATGAATGGATTTCACAGTTGATGTGAAAACCATGAAATACTGTGAGTCATGTGGGGGGACCTAATATTTCTTGTTTTTTCGTGGCTCAAGTTATAGATCATGGAGATTCAATTAGGTGTTGCTCATACTTGATTTATGTTTTTCTACCAGTAGGTCAGCTAACTCAGAGGAGAATGTATGTACCATCCATGGGAAGAAGGGATTGTGCCACATGGTTGTAGGCTGTTGTTTCATACCAGTAGTGTTTTCAGGACTACTGAGTGCTTATAGGTGGCTTCTTGGTCTGGCAGAACTGAAAGTGCTCAGCCATTTACAAAGTAGGTCTTGTATGAACTAAGTAGGGCTTGGAGTTGTAACAAGTTCCAGCCAGCTTGGCCCCAGGTATTTGTCCACATACCTCTAGGCCATGGAGAGAATGATGATTACAGCCTGATTGCAAGGTGCTGAGCACTCCAGTCCCCATCTAACTACTGATTTAGCCAGAACAGATGTACTGGGGGGTTAAAAGGGCTGTTAACCTCATTAGCACCATTTGGTAAAATATTCTGTTAAGTACACAGGCCTTGTGTCTGCCCCTTCACACCTCACCTTTCCAGTTGGCATTGCAGATGTATCCTGCCCTTTACTTTGTACCTGGCAGTCATCCCAATGAATGGTGCTGCTCCTTGAGTATTTCAAATTTAGCATGTTGCTTTGCTGGACTGTGACTGGAGTGTTCAGTTTGTCTTGTAGCACTGCATTCTAGATGAACCACTTATTTTTCTGTTCCCTGTTCTAGTACATTTAGTAATTTTTACTGATGACTCATTAACTATTCTAGCCATCTATTGCTGCCAAAATGCTAGGAATAATTTCTGATATTTTTTTTCAGGAAAAATCTGTGTAAAATCTGAGAGCTCACATGATATTTTTGTTAGGTATGATGCACTCACCAGGATTTGAGGGAAACCTAAGTTTCAACTTCCAGACCCTGATGAATGCAGACAGTCTCTATGTGGTATCACACTACATTCTGCTGCTTAACCTAAAATTGGCCAACTCAGATTACTACAGGAAGAAGCCTGCCCAAGCCCCTGTCTTGCTGGTGAGTTGGGGAATATGGGAAAACTGTTAAAAAAAAAAATGAAAATTTATTTTTCTTCCCTTTACATAAGCCAGCCCACACATAAAGCCTTCAGGCTGCTTGCTAAGTGAAGAAATAGTAATTGCAAATGAAGTGGTCTCCAGACTGCTTATGAATCTTGCATGATAAATGTCGTGCATTTGAGTTACACAGCTTCTCTGTAATTTGGGGGGAATGAATGCTGCTTACTGATTGTCATTAAAGTTGCAGTCATTTTGATGGACAGACTGTTTTCAGAATAGATCTTCCTTGGCATCATGTGATATAGCAAGTATTGTCTCCTGATAATGGGCATAAACATACCTTCATCTTGCAACTACTTTTGAGCCTGATGACAAATTTGTTGCTTAATGCTTGATTTGTATTTCCGTAGTTGAAGACATGAGAAGTTAAAGTGGAAAATAACTAGATTTTAATATTGTGAAATTATTATTTTCGTGGCACCTCAAATTCCTCAGCTTCTTGGGCTTTTTAAAAATTGTTTTGAAGCCTGCGCGAGTTATTAAATATGAATCTATGTTTTTCAACTAAGTTGCCCAAGAGAAGTTGTTTCAGAGTTTTCTTAAAAAGAAAAAAAATTGTGATATATGCAACTACAACAAAAAAAATTATGTCAAAATGTATCATTATTGCTGAGCTTCCAGTGTAAGAATTTATAATCTAGATCATCTCAAAAACAAATGGAGTTTAACATCATCCTTAGTTCTGGTATGTTCTGCAGCTGCTGCAAGTGCAAATCTGTGGCTCAGAACATTCTCTAGGGGCATCACTGTGCACAGTAGGCCTGAGCGTGACCAAAGTATTTTTGGAGGTCATTCTGATGTATAATTGGACACCAGTTCATCTGTGATGGCTGTTCATGCAGAAGGGCCCAATTGCTGGACAGGCAGAGTTAGGTGCCACAACCTCTTTTTGTTGGATTTGAGATCCTACTCCTACCTTGTGAAAATAGTGAGAGATCAGCATGTCCCATTGTCACTGTGCAAGAACTGTCATTATGATTTGCATTAACTGCGATAGGAAAAGGGAGAGCTCCTTGTTCCTGTCATTCTCCACTGTAGAGACACATACAGGAGGATCTGGACAGGCTGGATCAATGAGTCAAGGCCAACTGTGTGAGGTTCAATAAAGAAAAGTGCCAGATCCTGCCCTTGGGTCACAACAACCCTGTGCAGCACTACAGGCTTGGGGAAGAGTGGCTGGAAAACTCCCTGGCAGAAAAGGACCTGGGGGTGCTGGTTCACAGCTGGCTGATCATGAGCCAGCAGTGTGCCCAGGTGGCCAAGAAGGCCAATGGCATCCTGGCCTGTATCAGAAATAGTGGGGCCAGCAGGACCAGGGAAGTGATTGTCCCCCTGTACTCGGCACTGATGAGGCTGCACCTCGAGTGTTGTGTTCAGTTTTGGGCCCCACACTTCAGGAAAGACATTGAGGTGCTGGTGCATGTCTGGAGAAGGACAGTGGAGCTGGTGAAGGGTCCAGAGAGTAAGTTGTATGAGGAGTGGCTGAGGGAGCTGGAGTTGTTTAGTCTGGGGAAAAGGAGGCTCAAGGGGACCTTATCGTTCTCTACAACTACCTGAAAGGAGGTTGTAGTGGGGTGGGGATCAGTTTCTTCTCCCAGGTAACAAGTAACAGGATGAGAGGAAATGGCCTCAAGTTGTGGCAGAGGAGGGTTAGACTAGATACTAGGAAAATTTTTGCATGGAAAGGGTTTCAAAACACTGGAACAGACTGCCCAGGGAAGTGGTAAATTCACCATCCCTGAAAGTGTTCAAAAAGTGTGTGTGTATGTCACTTGAGCATATGGTTTAGTGGTGAACATTGTGTGGTGCTGGGTTGACAGTTTGACTTGATGATATTAAAGATATTTTCCAACCTTAACAATTACATTATTTCAATCCTCAGTTAATTCTTATCTTTGCATAACTTCATATCTACTCCTGCAGTCCCTTACTCAGAGCAGATTTGGCGACTGAGGCTCATGTTGTAGGGCTTACTGTTGTCTTACATCTGGCTTTTATGGTTCTCTGCAGAAGGAGTTCATGAAGCAGGTCCAGTCCAGTGGAGTGTTGATGGTATTTTCCCAGGCCTGGGTTGAAGAACTGTACCACCAGGTGCTAGAAAGGAACATGCTGGGGGAAGCCGGATACTGGGGAAGCCCTGAGGAGCACAGTCTTCCACTTATCAGCATGCTGACTGGTCAGTACTATGTTATGGTGGCAAGGCTAACTTCAAAACACATCTAAAACAAGCTGCAATGACACACTGCTTCATTGCATTACATACAAAATGTGGTGTTTCAGGAAGTTGTCAGTAGAGAAGGAACCAGACTTAGCTGTGGCAAGTACTTAAATGTTTGGTTTGGATCATCAGAATGCTTTTGAAGTGTGGGTTTAAAAAAATCAAACCTGTCTATGGGAGACAGGGAGAGTAGTTTTGTTCATTGAATCAAAACATCTCTTATTTCTGTCAGCTTCAGTTCTGGTAGACTTAATGATAAGCAATAAGGCTGCTGTTTTCTTGATGTCATAGCAAAACCATTTCAGTGTGCCTGTGGTGCAGTACAAATATAAATAGTGGCATCTGATCCTGAAAGCCTTCCACAGATTGGACTCCCCTTGGTTCAGATTTGTTCTATGCCAGGGATATGCCAAATGGCACTACAGAGAAACTGAAAACCTGGAGCACCTCTAACAAATGCTTAAAAACAATCCTTAGGTTCTTTTGAAGGAAAAAAATCAAATTGTATCAGTTGAAAGACAGCAGGATGGCTATGATATTGTATTGATATAAAATGCACTGTGTGCTTTAATGTGTATGTAATTAAACCAGTATATGCAGGGAGAACCCTGGCTTCAACTGAGCCATTAACTGGTAATCAAAGGGCACTGCTCTGGAAGTTTTTTGCTGATTGTACTGAGCTCAGTGTTACTTTTAGCTATTGAGCTAAAAAGCTGAAAGAAACACTTCGGAAAAACGATAGCCATGAAGTGTGTGGAAAAGGGGCTGCTAGAAATCAGCCTGGTGTCCCTGACATTAAACTCTCTGTGAAAAGCTGATCTTTTATTGTGTTGGAGAAAGGGTTGTATTTCTGTTGTTGAAATTAAACCTACACAGGTCTCCTAAAAATTGCTTTTAAGACACAGGATTCCAGTGCATCTTGAGGACTCAGACTGAGGTTTGGGAACATCTAGATACAGGATTTAGCAAGATTTAAAATTTTATACTAAGAAATGCAGAGATTTAAGTGTGTGGTAAATTCTCAACTGTAAGAAATATCATTATATCTTTACTGGGAGTTCTGTTCATTGTGCAACTTGGGGAACAGGGTGGTGAGGGGCAGCTTTTGAGAGTGGGATATTTCCCCTCTTCAACAAAACACTGGTTATTATGGGCAAAGCATAAGATGCCACAGATCATGTTTATGCCAAGGCTTCAGTAAGCTGCCAGAAAGAGTAATTAAAAAGCCTGAGAAGTCAGGAGTGATAGCACTTACTTGAACAAAGAGCCAGTAGGAGATACTTTCCTTGTACCATCTGTGTGTCAAAGAGTAATCTGATGTTTTTTAATGTTCTGGCAGACATCGATGGCTTGGGAAGCAGTGCAATTGGTGGCCAATTGATGGCATCAGCTTCAGCTCAATCTCCTCTTTCCCAAAACCGGAAGACAGACGATTCTGTTGTTGCAGGTATTAAGACTGTACTATAAGTGCAAGTGTGTCTACCAGCAGTGGGTTGTTATATACCAAAAGTATATTCGGATAAATTGTGTAGAATAACAATTTAAGGGCTGAGGGAAGTATATCAGTACATTGTACATGAACTACTCGTTCAGTGTGCAAAAGACAAATGTGACTTGGTTTTTTACCACTGATGATAAAGCTGCTGTTATGTGCAGTTGTAGTAGTTACTACTACTCAATTTTCCAGTAGTAGTAGTAATGCTTTTCCCACTCCAGGAGTTGCTTTTGCCCGATACCTTTTAATCGGCTGTTGGAAGAACTTGATTGACACTTTGTCCACCCCACTGACCGGCCGCATGGCAGGCAGCTCCAAGGGGCTGGCCTTCATCTTGGGAGCAGAAGGAGCCAAGGAGCAGAACCAAAAGGAGAAGGACTCCATCTGCATGAGCCTAGATGGACTGAGGAGGGCAGCCCGGCTGAGCTGTGCTCTAGGTACTGTTGCATGTGGGATGCCCTGATAGACTCATAAAATAGGATGGTAACTTTCCTAGAAGGATTTTGGGAGAGAAAAATGCAGCATGCAGTTCCAGTTTTGGATAGGAACATGGATTGTGGCAATCCACATAGAGTGCATCTGCCCTGCAGCGTAGATATAGCCACCCGACTTTCCTTAACACTGTCTCTTGTTGAGTTTGCATGGGACTGGAGAGGAAATGTTGGTCAAACGGTAATTGTGTTGTTGCTTTACAGGAGTTGCTGCTAATTGTGCATCTGCTCTTGCCCAAATGGCTGCTGCCTCCTGTGTCCAAGAAGAGAAAGAGGAAAAAGAAATCCAAGAACCTAGTGATACTATAGCTCAAGGTAACTCTGTGATTAAATTACCTAACTAATATTGCCTGCAAAAGTGCAACTGGAAAGCACTTTGCCACACAGTGGCATTCCCCTCTGTCATTCTTCCACTGAGCACCACTCACTTGTAGGCATATGGGATGTATGTCTTCAGTACGTGTTCTGCTGTCCTAGGTTCTTAACATTATGTCCCACTAATTATATTTAAAATGCAGCTGAAATCAGTGGAACAACAGGTAAGCCAACAGCATTTTTTAATGTGTGCTTTTTAAGCCTTGTGATAGTAGTACAACATCAAAAGACCAAGTTATTTGGGGTTTTTTATGTCTTGGGTGGTAATATAAGCTGAGTTTGTGTCCTTCTCCCTGTCCTGTGTATACATCCTTGGTTGTCTTTCATCAGATTGTCAGATATTTAAAACCGTTTCTGAATCATGTTAAATGAAAATAGAATAAAAAATATATCTTTATAACATCTAAAAAGTTCTGCATCTCTATACCACCACCTCAAACTCAGTGGAAGTCAGTAAAGTCAATTGTTGTCTCCAATGACTGGAGAAGTACATAAAGTTTGTCTGATTACACTTGATTTATAATGGCAAGAAGCCCATAAAAAAACACAGTGTTGCACGAATGACCCTGCTTGGCACTTAAATTTGGTGTTTCAGTAGAGAAAACAAAACTGAAAAAGCCTGAGCTAAAACAAGCTTTTGATCGCTCTGCTAGATATGACTGCAGTGCATTGGCCAGGCCATGCTGAAGCAAAGAGGAGGCAGCAGCAGTGGCCAGAGGCCAACAGGTCTGTTCTGTGTAAGCTTGCAAAGCTTCAAAATTTGATCCTTTCTAATGCAGCATGAAAACTAAGCTTTTCAAGGATTCTCAGGAAAAAAAATGTGTCCAAATGCTTGTAGTTCAGATCAAGATTAGTTTTGCTTTGAAAAGAGTATCCATTAACAAAAACTCTTTGGTGAAACTTTTGTATGGGAATGGATATGAAATCCCCAAATGCTTTTTTTCCCATAGCAAAGAAGATTTTGTTAAAAATAAGTAAATAGCCAGCCAGCTGTCTCTGAAGAGAAATATGTAATATCACAGGCTATCTGCAACTGTTCTGTGGGCAACAAGATGTGAATTTGGGGGTGGAGAGTGTCAATCTAGCATTGTTTTTTTTTTCTTGTATATAGGATCAGTCAAAAGGGATTTTAATTTTAAAACTGCCTTAAATTTATTAGGAAGAAATGAGTTTCTCTGGTTTGTTTTTTGTTTAAATCCATGGTTTTTATAGCTTTCAGTTTGTAATACTTTGCCATCACTCTATATACACAGCAGTGTTTGTTTAAAAACTGGAGAAAATTTTTTTTTCCCATGCTGCAGTGAAACAGAAAGTGGAGCAGAAACTGGAGCAGATGGGGAAAATGCAGGGAGTCTGCTTGCACACTGCTCATGTTTTGTGTATGGATGCAGTCCTTAATGTGGGTCTGGAGATGGGAAGCCACAATCAAGACTGTTGGCCTCATGTGTTCAGGTACTTACCAGCTTTCACAAAATAACCAGAATTTATACTATGTTGCCTGAAAATAACTGACTGAGAAAAAGGGCTTTACAGACTCTGTGGATGTTCTGTGTTTGAATTAACTGCCAGCACCTCTAAAAGATAAGACGGTGCAGTTTTCCACTGCTATTCAGAGACAAAAATCAATACTTAGAAACTTCAAAGCTATCAGAAAACTGTACCAGCCCCAGGAACCTAAATGGGCTTTTAAGGCACCTCCACCAAACTGTTTGCTATGTAGGCGCATGGGAGGTCAAAGGATGTAAGAAGAAGGGTTATCTATGTGTGGTCTGAGAGTTAGAGATTGTCTATTTGTGGTTTGAGGAAAATGTCCTGTGCATTGTATCTGGTTCAGATGTAGAAATCAGTGCCTGTGAACTGGCAGCAGGTTTCCATGTCAGTTGACTTCTCCCACTTACGGGGCTGTGTGGTAGCCAAGAGTACTCTGGAGTACAGACCCAAGCGTTTCTTCAGTGAGCCTGTGATTAGTGGGGGGAGGAGTTGGTGCTTTGGGGTGTTTATTCTTTTGCTTCTCCTGTTTGTTCTCAGGGTGTGCGAGTACATCAGCACTCTGGAGCACACCCACTTCAGTGATGGTGCTTCCCAGCCCTCTCTTACCATCACCCAGTCACAGCAGGCACCTGGAGGGCTACACCCAGACTCTGAGCCTGGTGACTCTCCTCAGGCACTCACCCCCGAGCAGGAGACCACCCTCAGCAGCCATCCTGTCATTCAGCCCGTTTCTATCCAGGATCTCATCAAGGACAACAGTAAGGGCAGAGCTTTTGAATTCCGTGGAGGCAGTCTGCTGTGTGGGACCAGTGCTGCCAAGGCTGTTCTCACGCTCTCCACACAAGCTGACAGGTAAAAGCAGTGCTGTCAGGAACCAGGATCCTTGTTCCCAAAACAGTACCAAAATAGCCCTTTTTGCGCTGCAGTGGGTCTAATCTTTGTTCATTGCAGCCACTTGCTTCAGTTGAATTTCACAAGAAGACTGCATGTTTGTCACAACCAGCAGTTTCTAAAAGACCTGCTTTTTTCATCTCTGCGGTACCTGCCCTGCAATTACTGACCTGAGTATTTCTGTGCACAACAGTGAATATGCCACATAAATCAAATGCATCCTGAAAGCAATGGATTTATTTCTTGCATGTAAATTAATCTGTTGTATTCAGTAAAGCAAACAAAATAAGTGGGTGTCTTGTCCTGACAGGAAAGGACAAGACTGTGTCAGTTAGAAAGCAGCTGCTTCTGTCAGGACTGTGTGGACAGTTTGTCAGACATCCCCAGTGTGTCCAGAGGAGGAAGGGCCACCAAGCATGGTCTCAGAGTGGCTAGGTTAAGTATCCCTTCATCATGGTCTGCTGACTAATATGTGTCTCAGACTTTTACGTTATTTCTGCTATTTTTTAAGCAGCCCAGGCTAGAGTTGAAAATTTGCTGGGTTTGCAGGCTTGTAATTATCTTTTTTCTCCAGCTGACATTTTACATCTTGATCTCTGCCCATAGAAAGCCATTATTTGTAAATTCAGAGCCAAAAGTAATGCGTAAACTGCTTGTAGAAGTTTGACTCTGGGCATAGAAAGTATCTTTTATTTAGGAAGTTCACTATACAACTTGGTTCTGAGGATTAGAGAATAGTAGTACTGTAATCTTAATGAGGCAGGTTTGATTTCCACGCTTTTACTTCAGTGTGAACATTTATTAGGACTCAATCCCCAGTTTCCTGGGATTATAGAAAGTTTTTCATGAAAAACAATGTCAGAAGATCATACTTTTGTCAATTTCTGGCTGCACCATGTAAAATTTCACTGTAGTCTCTGTGGAACCCACCTCCTGTGTAACCATGTTTACTTTTTAAGTGTACCGATTTTAACGGGTAAATCTTAAGGGCTCATTGCAGCTGAAAATAAGGACTCTGGCTTATATTTGTTATAGTTTAATGAAAACATAGCCCCACACTAGGCATGGTGAGAAAATTAACTCTACCCCAGCCAAAACCAGCACAATGTTCCAAAATAACCATTCAGTTACAGTAACTTTAGGTTTAAGACTTTAATTCATTTGTTTTTTGTGTAAGGCTCTGTGACTTCAGATGGAGCAAGCTGGTGTAACTCTAAAGTCAGTGAGGCTATGATGATCTATGTTGTGAGGACTGGGCATGTTTTAACTGTTTGGTTTTCTTATTAGTGGTTCATGAACTGCTTTGAAAAAGTGACTCTTTGTTGCAGTACCATAGTTGAATCTCAAAAGACTCTGGTTGGTCCAATAGCAACCCTCCAATTAATAAAGCTTCTAGATCAAAGTCTTTCTGTAGCACTGTATAAATGAAAAAGCCTCAATAACCCAATGTGTCACCAAAGGCAACACATAGCAGCCATAACGGATAAGAGTTTTCCTCTTACATACACATTTAAATCTGCATCTCATGAATTTTTCAGTTAGATTCTGTTCTTTACTTATAGACTCTTTGAAGATGCTGCTGACAAGTTAAACTTGACGGCATTGGCAGGCTTCCTTTACCAGCTCAAGAAGGCTTCTCAGGCCCAGCTTTTCCATTCAGTCACAGATACAGTTGATTACTCACTAGCAATGCCAGGTAAGTCACCTGAAGACCCCTTACAAACTGTTTCATATACAACTGTACTGCTTACAGGACTACTTTGTATTCTTACAGTTCTGATTTTTTCCAATTGAAATTTCAAGACATAAATAAAACACTGAATTTAGTCTAATAAGATCTTTCTTTAGGAACAATTCAAAGTCTTTGAAAAAGGCAGAGCACTTTTTTCGGGCAGGGATCACATCCACACCTGCTTTGAAACACTTAGAGGACATTCATTTCATTCTTGGGGGTGTTAATTATCCACAGATACTTAATCACAACTCCACTTTGGAGCCTAGTCCAGTAAGAAAACTTGGATGAATGTGGACCTAAGAGACTGGATTTAGGTTAGACCTTTGACAGTGGGGTAACTTCAGAAGTCGGGGACCCCTGGTGGCCTAGTGGTTAGCATGCGGGACTCTCACCGCTGCGACCCAGGTTCGAATCCCAGTCCCCCCGGGCAGATGGAGCTCGTTAGCCCTGTGAGGCCATCCATCTATGAGAAGGTCACTCTAAACAAACCTACGTCCTGAGGACCTCACTGCCATTGTCCAAGCTCGCTTGGCCCCGGCAGATGAACCTTAGGATTAAAGGGTGGGCTCAGTTCAGCGCAGGCTGTGTCTCACCTAAAAAATCCATTGTGCAGGCTGGAAAGGTAAAAGACCTTTCCCCAGATCTTCGTTCGCGAAGACTGGCCATTATTATTAATTAACTTCAGAAGTGTTCAAAAAATGGGTAATAGCAAACAAAGCACACAAATGAAGAATGTTAAATAAAGCAGCGGGATTTGTCCTGCTTGCTCTTCCCCAACAGAGTGGATGGGGCATGTATCTTACAGTACAAAGCCTGTAAATGGTTGTTTCCATCACTGTCTCAATTAGAAGGATTGGACACAAAGGAAGATTTTTCACTAAAATTTATACTGTACCTATAGAAGCTACATTAGTCATACAGGTTTTGTTCTGTCCTGTAGCAGACATGGATTTTATCTGATATATGTCTCCAGTTTAATTGGTTTCCCCTTTCCCTGAAGTGCTATTTGTCATTTGCCAATATGACACTTCAAGTTGATTGGTTTTTTGCTCTTGCTTTGTCTTCAGACCTCAACATTCATAACTAGTTTTAATAAATAGCTATCCTCTTGTCATGTATGTAGTAGTCAATCCACAGTAGTTAGTAATAATGAAATTGAAATTAGGATAGAGCAATTAAGTGCAATTTTTTATGTTAAAAAAAGTTTTTGTTTTAAGGTATGCCCCCTGATTATATCTTTCATTAGAGATAAAAGCACCAGTATATTTTTAATGAGGGGATGAAATATCTCTCCAAATGTTGTAAGAGCAATGGAAGATGAATCGCTTTCAGCAGCAAATAACAAGTATTAGTGACTGGGGAACAAAAAAGCTTTTTCTCACATTCTGTTCTTTGTATCCTTTGCTTGATAAGAAATACAAAATTAAATACTCAAACTAAATAATTTGCAGTTTATATTCTTTCCTGTAGATGTCACCAAAGGCTTTTGTAACTACCATTTTGGGTCTTACTATCAATTATTTAACTACTTGCTTGACTTTCCTGCAGTATTTCTCCAAGACTTTGTCTTTTGCAATAAAAGGGAGTGATCACTTAAGTCAAAATAAAGTATGTTTAATAAGTTGTTCTTAAAACTTGGATCCATCTCATGTTCTTTTACTTACACAGATATAGACCGTGGTTTACATTGGAGTTTTTTTTGGTTTTTTTTCCTTTTTCTCATCCCCCCCTTAAACCTCTCCCTGACTTAATAAATAATTTTCAACTTGATTTCCATTCCAATTTAGACGTTTAGAGATGGAGAAGTAGCTGATGCTTAGCTTCCATTTATTTTCTTATACTTTCTTGTAGGTGAAGTAAAATCTACCCAGGACAGGAGAAGTGCACTTCACTTGTTCCGACTTGGTGATGCCATGCTCAGAATTGTAAGGAGTAAATCTCGCCCGTTGCTCCACCTCATGCGCTGCTGGAGCCTGGTGGCACCTCACCTTGTAGAGGTAGGAATGGGGGACAAAACTGTGCATGTGTTCAAGAGATGGCAAAGCTGAAAAAGATGCAGAAGGCTTGATAGCTCTTAAAATGTATAACAACTCTCAATGTTGTCAAATCTGCTAGGTATTGTATAAACTGTGTCATATACTGCAATACTGCCACAAAGGAATGTGCTTTTAAGTAACTGAAATGGGCAGGACCAGGGACAGGGTGTTGGATTTTTGCAATATGATGCAAAATGCATCTGGTGAAAAAACTGAAACCACACCAAGAGGGTCTAAGTAACTCCTCCATCTCCCTATTTTCCCAGTCAAGATCTGCAGCCTTGCAAGTCTTCCCATAAAAGGATGCAGGTTTCTTTTCCTACATAAAGCCAGCTCAGCTGGAAGGATTATGACATTTTTCCCTTTTCTTCTGCTCCCTTGTGAACACTGCTCAGTGGCATGCCAGTAGCAGCCACAAAATGGATTTCAGTCATAACAAATGACATTTCCTCAGTCAAATTTTCAGTCTTTTCTGATGAAATGCTGGTGTCTTGACTTCTCAGAGCTTTTTGATTTGTATCATTGGTATGAATAAATGTGCTGTACTTCCTTTCTTTCTGTTGGTGAGGTATGTGGTGTCATTTGCCCAGGTCTCTTGGCAGCATGCTTATCTGAAGTCTTAAGATGAGCTGTTCAGTAAATTGCCATAGCACTTTCTTTCATTGACTTGAGAAAATATGTGGACCATCTTACAGCAGAGATCAGACATCAGAAACTCTCAATGGAATCCCTCTAAGTGAAGTAGAAATAACAAAGAATGGTTTTGTTGTGTGCTTTACAGCCCATTATCTTGAAAACCAGTGTCCTACTTGCCTTTGTATAACAGCCTGAGGTCTCTTTAAATACTTTTCATGTTTTGAACACTTTAAGGTCTTTTAAGATCCCACACCAGTTTAAATTCAAGTGCCACCCATGTTTTTAGATGCAGGAGTGGTCAGACTTTGGGTTGACTTCAGTGAAGATGAGGGTATTATCAGTAAAAAGTAACATCACAGAAAGGATAACCTGCATAGTTGCTCAAAATGGTAACTTTATATTCAGATTCACTGCTCTTTAATTTTTCAACAGTTCTTCCAAAAGTGTCAAGAACTTCTAAGTTCCATAAATAGCCAAATAAGTGGCACTTGTTCATGCCTGGATAGGTATGGTGAATATTTGCAGAAACTAACTTTTTGAAGGGAAAAATGGTCACACAGTAGAAACAAAGGACAATGTTTCACATGAGCTTTGTTCTGTGGGTTTTAGTATTTAATTTATTTATTTTTAGCTCTGTACTTTTTGAATTGTTAATAAACCTTTATGCATCTGTGGAACTCCCAGCAGCTCAGAGTCTCAGTGATCTGTTTCTATGGCAGTACTCTCTCATTTTCATTGTAATGGGGTCCCTAGTAACATCAGTGGTGAAGCCACTTTTAGGGTTCAGCAACATGAAGTGCTTACCTCCCTTAAAAGTGTCTCACTAAAACCAAATGTTTTCTCTTGCACATACTCTAATTCTTCTCCTTTCCCTGCAGGCTGCCTGTCATAAGGAGAGGCATGTGTCTCGAAAGGCTGTCTCCTTCATCCACGACATCCTCACTGAAGTGCTGATGGACTGGAATGAGCCTTCTCACTTTCACTTTAATGAGGCACTTTTCCGCCCCTTTGAGCGCATCATGCAGCTAGAGCTTTGTGATGAGGATGTTCAAGACCAGGCAAGTCAGTTCTGATCGGGGTGTCTGTATCTGGCCTACTATGCCCGTAAGAATGGTTTCCTGAGTGCACTTGGTCCACCTGAGTGTTTCCCAAATTCCCTTCTAATGCTGTCCCTTAATTATCTTCTAGGAATTGAGAGTGCTCTGCCCACCTAAGCCAGCATTGTGGTAGAGCACAGAGACAGTACACCTGGCTTTAAAGCAATTAAATAAAGCTTTTTTATTATCTAAAGAAGTTTAAATAATAAGTTAATCTAGACTGCCATAGTGAAATCTAGGAATCTGTTTGAAGGCATTGGCATTCCTTCTGAAGATCCATCTATGTATCAGTTCTATTTTTTGGTTTTGTTCTTTTAACCCCTCCTACACTGTCTACAGGTGGTCACCTCTATAGGTGAGTTGGTGGAAATGTGTTCTACCCAGATCCAATCGGGATGGAGACCCCTGTTCAGCGCCCTGGAAACAGTGCACAGCAGCAGCAAGTCAGAGGTTAAAGAGTACCTTGTAGGAGAATACTCTATGGGTAAGGACTTACTGCACTGACTGTTCCATATGTGGTTTAGATTCCCTGGGGGACACAGTAACTAACTCAATATATTTCAATGCTTTAACTGAACAGTGGGCACTGCAATACTCCAGAACTGTACTCAAGTATCTGACTTACTAGTTAGAGTGGGAGGGGAAAGCAGAGGTATTGTTCTGACTTTTTGTCCTCTAGATTCTGACAGATGAGTAGAATGAGAAAGAAATGCTTCATAGAATCATAGAATCAGTTGGGTTGAAAGGGACCTCCCAGATCATCGAGTCCAACCCTTGATCCACTACTGCTATGGTTGCTAGACTATGGCACTAAGTGCCACATCCAGTCTTATCTTAAAAACCTCCAGGGACAGAGAATCCACCACTTCCCTGGGCAGCCCATTCCAATGCCTGATTACCCTCTCTGTAAAGAATTTCTTCCTAATATTCAACCTAAACCCCCTCTGGCACAGCTTAAGACCATGCCCTCTTGTCTTACTGATAGCTGCCTGGGAGAAGAGACCAACCCTCATCTGGCTACAACCTCCTTTCAGGGAGTTGTAGAGAGTGATGAGGTCTCCCCTGAGCCTTCTCTTCTCCAGGCTGAACAACCCCAGTTCCCTCAGCCTCTCCTCATAGGACTTGTGCTCAAGTCCCTTCACCAGCCTTGTTGCTCTTCTCTGGACCTGTTCCAGGACCTCAATATCCTTCCTGAACTGAGGGGCAGTACTCGAGGTGTGGCCTCACCAGCGCTGAGTACAGGGGAATAATCACTTCCCTGGTCCTGCTGGTCACACTGTTCCTGATCCAGGCCAGGATGCCATTGGCCTTCTTGGACACCTGGGCACACAGGTGGCTCATGTTCAGCTTCCTGTCCAAACTCCCAGGTCCCTTTCTGCCTGGCTGCTCTCCAGCCACTCTGTCCCCAGCCTGTAGTGCTGCATGGGGTTGTTGTGGCCAAAGTGCAGGACCCAGCATTTGGCCTTGTTGAACCTCATCAAACCTACGTGAATAATTTTGAGCAACACAGTAGTGCAGGCATACTGAGCTTGGCTGAGCCCTGGTCACTGTCCTGCTAGAGAAAGGAAAGCAGACTGTATACACCCAATATGTCTCATGTGGACTGTCTTCCTTATTGTGTGAACTCTAGTGCTCTCAAACATTAGGGTAACTTAGTGTGATAATCTAGGCAAGTGCTTGTCGAGGCAGTGAATCACAAGGTTTTCAGATTGCTAGTGCTGCAAGGCTGTGCACCCTTCTCAGATATGTTTGCTTGTATAGAAACAGAGTAATATGGGAAAATAATTTCATTCTGTTCTTTTGCCCCATTCAAAGGCATTTTAAATGTTACAAGTCATGTGTAAGGGATGTGATTTTCTTCCTAAACTTTGTCTTTGAGATCTATTATAATTGATGGCTGAATGCAGGTATTAGCTACTGAGCCGAGTTCAAGAGCTCAAACGTACTCTTACGTTTGGACAGCCATGTGCTAGTAATAATAATGGCCAGTCTTCGCGAACGAAGATTTGGGGAAAGGTCTTTTTACCTTTCCAGCCTGCGCAATGGATTCTTTAGGTGAGACACAGCCTGCGCTGAACTGAGCCCACCCTTTAATCCTAAGGTTCATCTGCCGGGGCCAAGCAAGCTTGGACAATGGCAGTGAGGTCCTCAGGACGTAGGTTTGTTTAGAGTGACCTTCTCATAGATGGATGGCCTCACAGGGCTAACGGGCTCCATCTGCCCGGGGGACTGGCTGGGATTCGAACCTGGGTCGCAGAGGTGAGAGTCCTGCATGCTAACCACTAGGCCACCAGGGGTCCCCCATGTGCTAGTATTTGTCATAGAATAGGCAAAGGAGGGAATCTGTATCACTTCCTATGAAAGGCTACATGAGTTGCCTCAGGAGCAACAAAAGGTTTTACTTTTAGGATCATTTCTGTCTCTGCTCAGAATAGAAAAGATTCTACAGATTCAATTTATTTGTTGAAAAATGGTTGGAAAATCATTTTTATGGGGATTGGGGAAGAGTTCTCATCTTGTTATTTCCACAGGAAAACGCCAGGCTCCGGTGTTTGATGTCTTCGAAGCATTTCTAAACACAGACAGCATCCAGGTCTTTGCCAATGCTGCCACCAGTTATATTATGTGCCTTATGAAGTTTGTCAAAGGACTGGGTAAGTATTTTCCTTTCCTATTAAGTCATGATACATCAAACTTGATCCTGCAGAAGAGGATAATTCAGTTGTGTAATACATAGTATGGTAGAAAAGAGAGAGACAATGAAGAACGTGAGTCCACAATGCTTAAAAAAAATAAAATCAAAACCAAGGGATTATTTGAGAAACATTTTTAATACTCTCAGTTCTTCGAGTTTTTATAGCAGCAAAGATGCATCTCACAATTAAGAGTCTGCTTCATCTGATCTTAATTTGCAGCAGAACTTGCTTACATTCATTTAAATAATAAAATAACAACTAAACTCAAAACCTAGAATATTGCAGAAATGGCCTGGCATTGTGCAGACACCAGGGAGTGTCTGCAACAGAATAGAGTATGTTTTACAGAATAGGCTATGTTCGGAGGTGAAAGGCACATCTCCTTTCTACGCTTGCCCACCTCAGCAGCAGTAGTTTGGCATATGCACTGCTGAAAACCTGCCAAACCTTCTGTGAGGTCCCGAGCATTGCAACTAACTCCACTGTCCCTGTGCTTTGTGTTGTTACTGAGGACAGCAGAGACCAGAACATCATGTCAAGGTGACCCTACAGAGTAATTGTGGTGCTTCACCAAAATTCAGAACAAAGGGAAATGCTGGGTCGTTCTGCCCCCACACTTGCCCTGATCATTAGAATTCGACACTATTCATTGAACTGTGACACTTATGGGATATTTTGGTTATGTAAATTACAGAACTTCTGATGAGTGGTAAAATGGGGCTTTTGGTTTCTATATGAATATTGATTCACAGAGGTTTTTATGTCTGTAAATAACTCCTTTTGATTTAAATGAAGCACCTAACTGCAGCAAATCTAGTTTTTAATGTTACTCTTGTCTTATTAAGCTATTTCACCATCGATTTCAATGGGGGCAGAATTCAGCTTGTGATGACAAACCATAATTACTACAAAAGAGAAATAAACTTGCATGTTCAATACCAATAGAGGGAACTCATGTGACTTCTGGAGAGTTCAAAAGCCTGTCTTATATTTCTTTAGGTTTCTTAATTACATGAGATAATTTTGAACCCTTTGTGGTCACATGTCAAAAGCAAGTTGGTTTTTTTTTGTATTAAAGGTAGTAGGACAATGGGATACTTCAGCAAGGAAAATACCGTACTATGAGCATTTTAATGTAAAAGTAAAGGATTCAAACTTCACTGGCTGACTTAGCTGATCTCAATAGTGGACAAAACTTTAAAATATGTTATGGAGGGAATCGTTAAGGGCATAGAAAAAGCAAATAAATATAGTGAAAGGAGAATAAAGTAGGACTTAATAAAAGGATTTCATATTTATCTTGTGGTTTTTCTGAGAGGAATAACTCTTAAGACAACAGAATGTTTACATGTATAGGCATTTAGTAAAGTTTCAAATTTGGCACTGAATTGAAAGTATTTGGCTAAAACAGAAAAATAGTTATAAGCCAAGTATTCTAAGGTGGGCAGAACACTGGCTGACAGGGGAGGAAAACAGACTGTGCAGACAGGAAAAATGGTGGAATGAATGGAGTTATCCAGAGAGGAGCTCTGCAGCAGGATGCCTTGGAACTGCTCTGCTTATGGAAATCACTTAATGAAGCTGACCTGAAAGAAAGAGTCTACTGATGTCATGAAGTTGGTAATACTAGCAATATTGAGGCACTACAGCCTGAGGATATATATCATACAGTTGAAACTGTGAGACTTTGATGCCTGACTTAGATAGCAGAAGGAAATATAGTAGCACAAAATATAAAATGGTGTATTTAAGCAGTAAATAAACTAAAAGGAAGAACTTGTGGTATAAAAGTTTTCCAGGGCACTGGGGTGCAAATGAATAGAAAAAAATGAGTAGAGTAATTGAGCAAAGAATAAGAATATAATATGAGCAAGTAATTACAACACCCATGGAAGAAAGTGGAGTGGAGTCAATATAGCAGATAATATAATGTATGATTATTAGAAGTCCCAAGGGCTTTACTAAAGAGTTATTAAATAGGCATATGTTTATTAAAACATTTATTCATATACAAGTATGTGGACAAACTATGACCAGTATTACTGTATTGTTTGTGTGGGGGTCACCTGGTTGTTATCTAAGATGATCAAACAAAGGATGTTTTCTGGCTTCTATTCAGACATTAAGGCATAACTAATGAAAAAGGAAAAGAATTCTATGTTTATTTATATTCTTCTGTCCTTCCCAATGCTGCCTTTCCTGTCCCCAGGGGAAGTAGATTGTAAAGAAATTAGTGACTGTATGCCAGGATCAGGATCTGCATCTACAGACTTGTGCCTTCCTGCACTTGATTACCTCAGGAGATGTTCTCAGGTATGATGAACAATCTTACACAGGCATTAACCTGGCCTAGAAAACAGTTCTAACCTGCAGGCTTTGCATCAGTCATGAGATGGTTTGCATGAACCCAACAAAGTCTGTGGTGAGTCTGATGGTAATAACCTGCACCGCCAAATGGACAGTGGCTATATTTGAGGGAATATTATACCTTGTAGGCCAATTAGTGGTGAGAAAACTGATGATATAAAAACACACCCAGGAAGCATGTGGGAAAATGTGAACAATCAAAACCTAGTAGTAACATATTTAAAGCTAAATTCATTCTTATTTAAACAGTAACTGTAAACAGTCTTGGGAATGAAAGACAAAAACAAAAACCAAAAACCAAAAAACCAAAAATGAAACAAAACCAAAATCCCCCCAAAAACCCAAACAACAACTTGAGAATTCTCAGATCTTAAGAGCAACAGGTTACACCCTCTGAAACACAGAAGCATTTTATCTGTACCATTAAAACTTATCTGAAGCTTGGGGCAAATCTGTAACAATTGGAATGCGAGAGTGTTTCCTCTAATCTCCATGCACACAGCACATATTATTATCTTGGGTTACCTGGACAATTTTTGTCTGATTTTATAAAGTTGTTTGTATTTCTGTAGTACCTGCAGGTCTTTTTGTTGGACCCCAGACGTGTTTTTTCTGGGTACAATACAAGGGCACAAAAATGGATATTACCATTGCTGAAAGGATTTATATCTAAATTCAGAGATAACGGGTGGGTTCAGTACACAGACTGAGAAGGGAAGAATAAGGCACTTCAGAATAATAAACAGCAGACATCAAATTCTATTTGCTATCTTGTTCACTGAAAAAAAATTAGTGAATATCTATGTGTATGTCTAATGTATGTTCTGTCTATACACTATTTGCACCACATCACTATTCCTCATCCTTACAAACCTCAGTCTACAGTGAGAGGAAAATATTTTCTCCTCTTTGAAAGAAGCAGCCATTTATGTCTTTTAACTTGCCAGTAGAAGAAGAATAGGAATGACTGAAAAAATATCTTGTTTATATATTGGAAATACATTATTTACTTTAGAAAGACCTGATAAAATGCTGGTAGAGTCCCAGTTATAGCACAATTCAGCAGTTTGTATTTGTTTTTTAGTGGACAACCCAGGCAATGAAGCTCTGAAGTAAACCTGTACAGGTCCTTTTATCAGTATTTACTTAGTCCTTTAGAGTTAAACATATTTTGTGTACAGCTAATGGAGCTTCATAGGTCATAGATGCAATCAGTGACTCATAACATTTGCCCTTTACAAGTGAGAAGAGAGCACACTTCCTTCTCAGAAATGTGTTATTTAAATTGCTGCTCTCCCTCTCTTTCACCCTCAACCCTTTACTTGTCAATGAACAGAAGACTTCTGGACTCTAATTGTGTTTTCGTAGCTTTTATTTTATTTTATATACTTGTATTGTGTGTGATAGCCTTTACAAACTTTCCTATATATACTTATCTTCTCTTTTTTTCTTTATCTCCTCTCCACTACCCTCCCCAAGTTGTTAGCCAAAATCTATAAAATGCCCTTGAAACCCATCTTCCTCAGTGGTAGGCTGGTTAACTTGCCCCGAAGAGCGCAGGAACAGTCAGCCAGCAGTGAGGATGGTATTGAATGCATCCTTTCTGACTTTGATGACGACACTGGTAAGTGTATTGAAAGCAGTAAGTGCAGAATTAATCAATTACTTCTTCCACATATTGCTGTAAATTTTGCCAACTGCTGAAAGCAAAAACTTCATCCTTTGCCTTCCTGTTGTCTACACATACACATGTGCACACGCAGAGCTTGGAAGTTCAGATCACATCACCTTCTTTATGTAAAGATATAGTTTGTATATAAGAAAAATACAACCCGTCTGCTAGGGCAAGACAACAATATTTTAACAAATAATTATTTTGATTATCCTGATATTCATAATACAACCAGTGTATATTTCTGAGACCTAACACAAAAAAACCTTTCTAGACCACAGCTGAAGTAAAGGAGTGAAAACCTTTTAAGATTGGTATTGGCAGGCCTGCCTTAACAAAAAAAAATATCAGTATTTAGTTACAGTCTAGAAATATAAGGAATAACAGTTTAAATGTTTTCAAACTTATGTCCTGTGGTCTGTTGAAATAAACAGTGAATTTCTGAAGTCCATATAAAGCTCCATGACCTCCAGAAAAAACAAGCAACATTTGTCTCCTGATTATTTGTGTGGTTTATATAGATTGTGGATTAATCAGGTGTTTGATGAAATAGATCTGTGCAGAGCCAAGTGGTAGAGGAATGCAGCCTTACGGTTTCTGAACTCAGGAGGCTTTCACAGCACTACAGTCACTTTTGAATATCTGAACTATTGAGCTGTTCCAAAGAGGCTGTTTCTGTGAAGAATCAGCTCCAACCTTTCAGAAAGCATGCTAACTCCAATGCATGTCATTCATGTGCCTCACCAGACTGGCCCTTGGTACCTACTTTTATCTAGACTCTTCCATCACATGGATTGTCCTGTTCCACTGCTATCCTGGATAAAGGAGAGAAAAGGTGCTCTCTCAAAACAGAAAATCACAAGTCCTACTTTTTCACAAAACAACCTTTTACTTTCTTCTGTCTGTGTTTGCATTTGGTTTTGGTTTGGTTTTTTCCTCTCTAGGAATTTCAGAATATTTAACTGGGATGTGGGAGACCCAAGTCATTGAAGCCTCTGCTTTGAGTCAGGTTTGGGAGTTGGCCTAGGGTCTCCCCACCTCAGGTGAACATGCTTTGCCTATTGTTCTGGAGTGGTTCTGCCTATCTGTGTCTTCCTGTGAATAGAAAGGCCACCCTGCAGCAAAGAAACCTTCCAATTTGATTTTTGTCGCAGTTAAGCACTAAAACTGTCACACAATTTGTTATCTAGATGGTGATGGTGTTAGAACATCGCTAGGCAAACTGACTTTACAAAGACAGGAGGCAGTGCTTCATCTGGCACTCTAGTGTTCAAAGTCACTACCAGGATGGGGCAAAATGTCTTAGCCTACTTTGCCATATTTACAGTGTATTTTCATAGTGTATTTGATACCAGCAAGTGTCATGCAGACACAGACTACATCAGCATAGCTACCAGTAGCAGAGAATGTGAGCTTATTAGTGAACCAAGGTAAAATCCCTTTTAGCCTAATAAACTTATAGCCTTCTTGACTCAAGAATAACAGCATACATTGGCAGGAGTGTAATACACAAGATCCTTCTAGTCGTTCGTGATACTACGGGGAACTAGGCAGCATATGATAATGAGATGGGGTTTTACTTATATACTTTTTATGGGACATTTTACACAAGGTTAAAGAGACTGGATTAGAGGGAGAAGTAAACTAAGACCAGAATAAGGTGTATGTGGAGGAGGAAAGATGGCACAAAACACAAACTTAATGAAAAGAGTGGGAAAAGGAGACTATCATTTAAAAAATGGCTATTACCTACAGCCATTACACAGCAACAGTGAACACGCAAGAACCCACGATCTTTAAGTTAATTAATTTGTTTCCATCACTTTGAGGGCAAGTTTCGCCTATTGGCAATGCAGTATCTCACTCATGGTTTTTAATATTCCTTTCTTTACTTGTAGGCCTTATCAATGTCTGGATTATTCTGCTGGAAGAATTAACAACTGCCATATCCAACTGTCCCCGTCAACACCAACCTCCTACTTTGGATCTGCTTTTTGAACTGCTGAGGGACGTTGCCAAGACACCCGGTAACGAAAGGGCTTGACAAAACATGAGCTAGTGGACCTGACCCAAACCTTTTAGAATCCTAAACCCCTTCTGTAAAGTGTGCTACTCATGCTAAAGCTGCACAGAGACATTCTCTCATAGAAAGGGATTTTTTTAGAGTGGATTTGTTGTTCCAGTTAGTGCATTGTTCTGTTGACAAGAGTCATCTTGTAAGAATATATTGAGCATATTCCTAAATTCATTGCACAAATAAAGAGGTGCGGTACTCTATCGATGTCCTAGCTACAGAAAATGTTTGCTGGGTGTCTAGGAAATGGAAAGAGAAAATTACATAATCCTGCAGACCTTCTGGGAGAGACTGTTGGCTAAATGTTCATATAGTACCTCACAACTAGATCCAAAACTCTTACCACTCTCATTCCACAAAAAAGTTTCAGGACTTCCTTTCTTTAGCATTACCCCAGGTCTCAGCTTGGAACAACTTAGCAAATTACTGAGCATGGAGGCTTTGTAAGCAAAAGTATACAACCATCATTATGTTTATTTTAAGGACCGGGATTTGGCATTTACGCAGTTGTACATCTTCTTCTTCCCACGATGTCTCTTTGGCTCCATCGCAGCCATGGTGATCATTCTTACTGGGATGTAGCATCTGCTAATTTCAAGCATGCCATTGGCCTTTCCTGTGAACTTGTAGTGGAGCACATTCAAAATTTCATACACTCAGGTATGTCATTGTGCTGTCACATCTCTCATCAGTGACATGTTACTGATAGCTACTTGTGGAGATGGTTTCTTTGCTTTTTCGGTTGCTCAAGCATAAAATAAGAGAAGGAGGAGGGTTAAAATTTTCTGTTTAGGATTTTTTATTTTTCATCCTTTATAGGATTATGGGGAATTACAGGGAAAAAAATTGTGAGGGACTTATGGAAGTTTATGGAAGCTTCCTGCTCAGAGCAGGGCTATCTTCAAAATTAAATCATTATAGTCTTTAGTATACTTTCCAAAAGAAGATACAAATACTTTGATCATAAAGAACTAGAACATCAGAAACAGGATCTAAGAGAATTTCTCCTGTACCACATAAGTCCAGACATTTTATATTGTTATCAAAAGGAATTGTCTTATTTCAGCTGGATGCAATGCATGTTTCAAGAGCTGCATAAAAAGAATTTGGTTTTGCAAATTCTCTGAATAGCATTTAAGTGTAGCAAGAATGTGTATCTCTAATTATAATGAAAAGGCAATGATGTTAAAAACAGCCTGTGTCTTTTCCTTATAGATATTGGTTATGAAAATATGATCAATACTATGCTGAAAGATCTTTTCAAGTTGCTGGTAGCCTGTGTAGCAGAACCAACAGAAATTATTTCCAGAGTTGGCTGCTCTTGTATCAGGTAACCCCATCTGTTCACTCTTAGCATATTCAAAAAAAGATGTCTATGTCTTTGAAGAACTTGTGGACTGATTAAGTTGGTCAACATCTTATTGACCACAATATATCTAACTTCTTGTTATTTGAATAATGAATTTTAGACTTACTAGCCTGTTCTTGCTGTTTTCAATGTGCTTCAGAACCTGTGATTTTAGGCATTACTGTATGTATGATTCCCATAAAAAGCTCTTGGACATTACTTTATATATAGTTAGTCAATAATTGATCCTTAACAAAAATACTCAAGAGTTTTTCCATTGGAATTCACACATCTTTAGAGGTAATTAATATCTTTCACAGTCTTCAGATTATTACAGTCATAATCAAAATAAGCACTGCATTTATATACTTACACAACGTGTGGTTCTTGTGGCAAGATGAGTACTTAAAGACGAAAAGCAAAGGAGAAAAAAAGTCAAAACTACAGTGTAATTACAAAAATAGGTCAGGGTAACAACTGTGGAGATTGGATAACATTAGCTAGCTACTAAATAAGCCTATTGTTCTGTTTTCATAGAATCATAGAATGGTTTGGGTTGGAAGGGACCTTAAAGATCATCTAGTTTCAAGACCCTTGCCATTGGCAGGGACGCCTTCCACTAGACCAGGTTGCTCAAAGCCGCATCCAGCCTGCCTTGAACTCTTCCAGAGATGGGGATTTTCAACCTTCTCCCTTTAAAAGTAAGAATTGTCTAGTTCCTTTGTGAACATGGTAACATTTTTCTGTGTTCTTGCAGGTATGTGTTAGTGACAGCAGGGCCTGTTTTTACGGAAGAGATGTGGAGGCTTGCCTGTTGTGCCTTGCAGGATGCCTTCTCTGCCACTCTGGAGCCAGTAAAGGTAAAACTGCCTTTTCGCCAATAGTCAAAATGTAATCACACTATAGACTCACTAATTTTTGACAGATTGTTTTTAATTCTGCAGACAAGTTTTTGTGTATAGAGCCAGGAAAAGAAGCTTAAAGATTGTATCATAGCTTTTTTAATTTGTCAATTCACAATGAAGCATGTTGCATCAACAATGGAGATTGAAACCAGTTTTTCTAAACACAGAACAGACAACACTAGTAGCTAACAGACTTATTTTAAATTGCCTTGTCAGCATGAAATCAGAAGAGTTCAATAGGTGAAAACTTCCCTTTTGATCCATTTCTTCCTCTGGATTGACTAAAACTAGAGAGAAGACGATGTTGCCTACTTAACCCTGCAGCTGCATGCTCTATATAGAGTAGTTTTCAACTCACTGGCTGCCTTGTGAACAAAACATCCTGTTAAGTCATTGCAGTCCAGAGTACATAAGAAGCTGTAGTGCCTTTACATTGGATGTATTAAATTGCTAAATAGCAGGTGACCAGCTGATGGTAATGGGACAGGTCACTCTGAATCTTGTATTTCACACAAACAGGCTGGACATCGCTACAGCCACTGATTTGTTTAACGCACAGTGAAAGTCTGATGTTGTGTCTCTCTATAGAACCTGTTGGGCTATTTCCACAGTGGTTCTGAAAGCTTTAGTGGAGATGCCTGTGAAGTGAAGGTGGCAGCCCCCTCTCTCTCGCCAAGTGCTGAAGCTGAATACTGGAGAATCAGAGCCATGGCACAACAGGTACTGATGGATGTTTCACGGCAAGTCAGAGAACCTTTTAAACTTGGAGGTTTACTTTATGAAAGTAAATTTTTGCCACCACCTTCCTCAAAAACCCTACAGGCAAAGACTTCCTCATCACCAGACTAACATTTATTTATTTAACAGCAGTATTCAGAAAAAATAATAAAAAACAGAAAAATAAAACCTAAAAACTGTCCCCCTGTAAATAGGGATTAGGAATGCCTAGAGTGGGGAAAGATGCATGAATACCTGAGGAAAACTGACAATGAGATTACTGTGTAATTAGCAGCATTAGCGTACATCAGTGGAAACCTTTCTGATAGAGGAACATTACCATGAATCCCCATCTAGAATGTCGGATACATTTCTGTTTACTCTGTTAAAGAACGATAAATTCAAAGGACAAAAAATGTGCTAAAATAGACATGGGGATATGATGCTAGGAAAACAAGATTTGTTTAACCTATCAAACCAGAGTTTTTAGAGAAATGCAGATTTTTTTCTCTATAAATATCTAGATATAGGTTGCAGAGAAGAAAAAGAGTTGCTTGGAATTACAGGATAATGCTGATATTTAAAAAATTATTTAAAACTCACAACTAGCTCCTCATTAGCAAAGCAAACTTTGAGACAACTTTCTTAGGGTCCTTTTGACTACAATGGAGGTTATTCATTTTATGAAAGTAGTTATATGAAACAAGTTCTTTGAAATACAGAAGACTGAACTTAATGACCTGTGGGGAACCATAAAACTGTAAATACCATATGACAGCTTCAGCATGGGAAAGCACCTAGATTAAAACAGCTAACAGATGTTTGGTATCAATTTCTGACTTAAAAAATCATACCCTGATGCTGTTTGAAAATTTGAAACACACAGACCGGGATTGGTGATCACAAATAATGTGGCAGTGGCAGACATTTTTCGAATAGAAAAAAAAGTTTTAAATTAAGTTTTAAAGATGCAGAACTCAAGAAAGCAGGGAATGTGGCATTTATACTTTTCTTGTAGACACTATCAGTGGCACTCCCCGAGTCCTTCTCAGTGGGGATTTACTGCAACTGTGAAGCTACAAAACAAAGCTACAGCAACTGAGAGTTGTCTCCGCATTTCCCACTGTCCTGGTTTTGGCTGGGATGGAGTTAATTTTCTTCCTAGCAGCTGGTAGAGTGCTGTGGTTTGAATTTAGTGTGAGAATAATGTTGATAACACACTGATGTTTTACTTGTTGCTGAGCAGTGGTTACTCTAAGTCAAGGACTCTTCAGATTCCCATGCTCTGCCAATGAGGAGATGCACAAGAAGCTCAGGGGGATAGCTGATGGAAACTAACCTAAGGAATATTCCATACCATAGAGTGTCATGCTTAGCATGTAAATGGGGGGAGTTGGCAGGCAGGGGCTGATCACTGCTCAGGAACAGACTGAGCATTGGTTAGTGGGTGATGAGCAACTGTACTGTGCAAGTTCATTTCTCTCTCTTTTTTTTTTGTTGCCTCTCTTTTTGTGGTGGTGGTTGTTGTTATTATTATATTTTATTTAAATTATTAAACCGTTTTTATTTCAACCCATGGGTTTTACCTTTTCTTTTCCCTGATTCTCCTCCTCATCCTTAAGAGGGATGGGTGTGGGGTGTGGTAAGCAGTGGCTGTGTGGCACTTAGTTGCTGGCTATGGTTAAACCACAACACACCCCCACAGAATTGCATATTAGATTTCTGTATCTTAATGGCTGAAAATAATCCTTCTAACAACCAGCCTTTCTAGGTGCAACAGGGCTAACTATGCAAACAGGTCCTTGTCTCCACTATACTTGATATTTTCTATAGTAGTGTAGAGGCAGCAGAAAGCTTGTTTTGGCTTTTGGTACTATGCCTTATACAAATTCAAAGGAAAATATGTCTGTCCTTTGCCCTGTGCTCTATGGATGTCTGGAGGTAGCCCATTGCTCTGAGGCTGTTTTACCAAACCAGCATGCTCCAGGGAAGGTCTGCCTCAGGGATACCTTGCATTCTCTCTATCACTATAAAATAATTCAATATGACAGATTTTTGCAATGAAGGGAATCCTATTCTCGAGTACCCTCAAGAACCCATTTCAAGTGCTAAACTGACTGTTTTATGTAACTTCTTGTTTTCTAGGTCTTCATGCTGGAGACTCAGTGCTCCCCAAAGACTCCTAGCAACAAGGAAGGGTTTGAACATGCCCAGTCATGTGTGCTCATCATTGACCTGCCACCAGATAAGAAACCAAATGGACATAGCCAGAGAAGGTAAAGTATCTTCTCAGAAAAATACTGTGTCATTAAAAGTAAGATAAAAATATTTCCACACAGAGATGTGAACTGAGCCTGGCAAACTATACCTCTCCCTAGAGCTCATAAAAAGAAATGAATACTCTGATCAAATTAGGTTTTGTGACACTTATATTTGTAATGATACTTTGCAAATGCAATGTCTGCTTCAATAATGGTCTTTTAAATTCAGTATTACTCAATTAAGAAGGTGAAAAAAGTTAATGGATAAGCTGGAACAGTATAAATTGAAGAGACCACATCCAAAGCTGTGAAAAACTGTCAACATATTGAGCTAGGGAACATTGATTTTGCTTGGCACTTTATTTTTGTGGAAGTCCTTCCATTATGTTACCGCCTCAGAAATTCATGCATTTGCATGACAATCTGATCCTGTCAAAAAATATTTCTTTTTGCTTGCACTCAGTTCTTTAAACAATTGCTGTAACATCAGTAGGGCCAAGAATCAGAATTCTGCATTCAGGGTTTGTGTCTGTATTGCGAGGTATGAAATACATGGCATGAAATTGTCTTTTACAAAATACCAAACCTAATTCTGTACCACTTCAGGCAGTCTCATTCAAATCTAAACTATTGCTTGCAACAAGGAGCCAGAATGTGATGGTTCTTCTTTGGCTGAACTGGAAGAAAGATCATGCAAGATGTCTCTGTTCTTACACTGCTGTACAGAAGTTTCCCCTTCTGTAGGAAGAGATCAGGTGCTCTGTTTCCTTGCCTTCAGAGCACAGGGCCCTGATCACAGTCTAAACCCTTCCTTTGTGGTGGGAAAATATCTGCTTTATTCAAAGGTTAGCAGATTATTCATCTTGTTATAATGAAAGCAAAGCAAAAGACTGGAATACTCCTCTCACAGCACACAAGGCCATGCAATCTAACAGGCTCTGTTTGTAAAGGTAGTGTGGGTCTTGCTTGTCTTTAAATAAATAAATGTATAAAGCTTGCAATTAATACAAACTCTGAATGCTCTCACACTGCGCTTTGTCTAAACAACTGCAAAAAGTATATATGCCAGTAAGCATTACCCCAGCAATACTCATTTTTTCACCAAAACATAGCTCAAAAGTTGACTGTGCCACTGTTTTTCTTATTATTTGCTACAGCAGTGCAGTAATATGCCAGTCATGCATGCTAGTAACTGTGGCCTTTCAAAAGTTTTACTTTAACCTTAGCAGGGTTTCTCTTCTCCCTTTTGCTTTTGTTTCCTTAATGCTGCATCGTTTCACAGGAAGCTGGGGTAAGGGAGCTTTTCTTCTTCCTAAAAAATAATCATATATTTCATTTTGAAACTTTGGAGAATAAGAAAATACTATCCTTAACCAGCTTTGACACTGTGTTTTCACCTATATTGCTGTACTAGTTTGTTTTGGGATTGAGCAGTACTTTACACTGTCCTTGTAAATCGCTTTTTTGGCTATTACAAGGAAAGCAGATCTCCTTCATTTCTGACCATGCTTTTGAATTAGTTGCTTGAAATCACTGCAAGCTCTCATTTAACTTTATATGTACTCTTAAGAGCTTTTCTGAGTCAGAGCCTCTAATGATTTTTACAGCAGAAAACTACTTCCCCATAAAGAGCACCATTATATGTTTTAATCATCAAGATTTTAGCACTGTGAGATAAATTTTACTGACATATCAGCACTGACAGCTGTGTCATAGTAAGCAAACTGACATGGGTAACTTAAACCGAGAAGAAGAGTCTGAACTTTTTTTTTTTCAATGTTTCATTCTCAAAACCGAGTTTTGATATGATTTCTCAAAAAAAAAAAAAATTAAAATTAGACTTCTTGTTTTGGTATTCCCAAATGCTTTTGAAAGTTGTTTAATGAAAGGGGAATAATTTTTGCAGCAAAAAATATTAAAGGTCTACAACTGAACTTCTCATGTTACATGAAGATTTGCTTTAACTTAGACCTAAAACTTCAGTATTGCAAGCAAACTGAAAAATCTCTTCCTCACTTGGTAGCCATGCAAATTAAAACACAACCCATCATACATCAAAACAAGTATTGCTATATGTGTCTACTCCATTTAAAACATAGCCGCTGCAGTCTTATGCAAAAACTTTTTTTTAAAGGTCTTAAGATAGGTTCCACACTTTATAATTTTAAATCCATGAGATACCAAACAACAATCGTGTCCACCCTTTCTTTCAAGCCTTACTTGCCTGAGCCTCTCAGTATTACTTACTGGTGAATGACCTGAAAACTTTTGTTGGAGGAATTTGCCATTCCTGGGTCCCCTGTGCAAATCAAGTATGAGTGAGGGCTAGAACAACTCCCAGCATCTCTCTATCAGGAGTACAGCTAGGAATACCCAGTATTATATGTGAGAAACAGGGTTAGGAGTAGATATTTCCATGCTAGCTTCTCAGTGTTCAAGTTGGTCTTAAGAGCAAACATGTGCCTTCAGCCAGACTTCAGCTTCTTTGCATGCTGCATTGCACTGCTGCTGTTTCTGTACATGTTCATTTATTGGTTGGTTGGCTCTTTGAGGTTTATTTTTAAGAAATACTCTTGGCATTAGTGAAATGGAAACCAAATAGTAAACTAGTTTTGGCTTCAATTTGTCATGGCAAGGTTAAGGTTGTCTGACATGTTGGTGAAAGGGTAACTTTTGTGTTAACAAGTCCTTCAGTTATAGCAGGCTGAAATATTGAGCATACTTGCAGCTGCCAGAAAATTAAAACCCAGAATATTTAATCCCTCAGTGTCAGATACTGGAGAAAAGGACAAAAATCGTAATAGAGTTTTGTTTTAATACCATCTCTACACAAGTGATATTAGTGTGCTTGCTGTGGACAATTTTTGCTTAACCAATCCAAGAGTCTTCTCTTTTAGGAAAATATTTGAAAGAGTAGCTGAAAGACCATTCTAGACCGCTTTATCTTTCTCCACTTCTTTTGTAACAAGGCTGTGAAAATTTGGTCTTTCATTTGCACTTTTCGTTTTAGATTCTACAATATAAGTAGTTCTGTACTCCTAGTGAAAGCACAATGCACCGTTTTAATATTCTATGATTTTTTCCTTCCTATGCTTGGTTTACCAAGTATTCCTTTCAGGACGATAGTGGTGAGCTTGCTGTCCCACCAAGTACTGCTCCAGAATTTATATGACATCTTATTGGAAGAATTTGTGAAAGGCCCTTCTAACTTGGAGGAGAAAATGACAATACAAGTACCAGAAAACAAGTTGGCTGGTTTTCTCAGGTACATCTCCATGCAAAACCTGGCTGTCATCTTTGACTTACTGCTGGACTCCTACAGAACAGCCAGAGAGTTTGACACGAGACCTGGTTTGAAGTGTTTGCTGAAAAAAGTATCTGGCATAAGTGGAGCTGCCAATTTGTATCGACAGTCAGCAATGAGCTTCAACATCTACTTCCATGCCTTGATCTGTGCAATCCTGACAAACCAGGAGAACATCACTGCAGAGCAAGTGAAAAAGATCCTCTTTGAAGATGATGAGAGAAGCACAGACTCATCACAGCAGTGTTCTTCAGAAGATGAAGACATTTTTGAAGAGACTGCCCAGGTCAGTCCCCCCCGAGGGAAGGAGAAGAGGCAGTGGAGGGCTCGAATACCATCTCTGAGCGTGCAACCCGTCAGCAATGCGGACTGGGGGTGGCTAATCAAGCGGCTTCATAAGCTCTGCATGGAACTGTGCAACAACTATATCCAGATGCATCTGGACCTGGAGAATAATGTAGAGGAGCCTCCAGTGTTCAAAGGTGACTCCTTCTTCATTTTACCATCTTTTTACTCAGAAACCTCCACCCCATCAACTGGAGGGCTATCTGGAAAGGACACACCATCAGAGGATGACCGCAGTCAAATCAGGGACCAACTGGGAGACAGCCTGACAGCTCGAGGAGGAAGTGGAGAAATGCTGCTGCTCCCCCCACCCTTAAGTCCTAAACCAGAGAAAAAAGAGCAAACCAAGAAAAAAGAATGGTGGGAGAGTGCTGGCAATAAAATCTACACCATAGCCACTGACAAAACCATCTCCAAGCTCATGACAGAATACAAGAAGAGAAAGCAGCAACAGGCCATGACATCCTTCACCAAAGAGATCAAAGTGGAAAAGAAAGGGGAGCTCTTGGGTTCAAGAGGGCCAGATTCACCTGTACTCCAGCGGCCACAACATCTTATAGATCAAGGTCAAATGAGGCATTCATTCAGTGCTGGTCCAGAGATCCTGAGACAAGAGAAAAGACCACGCTCAGGATCTACAGTCAGCTCCTTGAATATATCTGTTAGGGATGCTGAGGCCCAGATACAGGTAGGACATTCTTGTGGAATGCTAATAATAATAGCAATAAATAAAAATATACCTATACATATTTTTTAATTGATTTTATTATAATCTTTTCATTAAATGCCTCTTTATATAAAGAAGTCCTCATGGTGACCACTGAATCTTGCAGCAGCTGGTACTGATAAAAACCTGATTCTGTCCTATTAAAAGAAAGTTGGTCTTTAGGGAAGCGTTATCAGGCAAATACTAGTTCAGCTTTCAAGAGTGTTTCTGTGACTTGGGTCAAAGCTGCACTTAATCTTAAGAACTAATAACCTACAGCAAACTCATTGCTTACTGCTGAGGGCTCTAGCCCACTTAAAGCTTTTGAAAACAGCATGCTCCTTGTCACAATGTTTTTATACTTGAGGTTTTTTTGTTAATTCCAGAGCCGAAATAGTGGGCTCTGTTGCTAAACAGAAACTTGCTGCTTGCATGTCCAAGTGAACAAATCAGTGAAAGCATCAAACTTGACAGACTTTTTTCACTGTAGGACAAAAAAAAAGGTGATGAAGGCTGAGCATGATGCCTGCAATACGAAGTCAAACAATTACTTATAGTACGAATGTGAATTAGGAAAACACAGTGAACGTTAAATGAATATTCTGGCATTACTCAGTCCTCTTCATGAGGCTGTAGCCACTAGATATCTTATTTTGTGCCTCATCCAATGAGCTCATCTGTTTAGAAAGGTCTTCTAAAGAGTCTTTTCTTTCTGTCCAACTTATTTATAGGCATGGACCAACATGGTGCTGACAGTTCTCAACCAGATTCAGGCCCTGCCAGACCAAACTTTCACAGCCCTGCAGCCAGCAGTCTTCCCCTGTATCAGCCAGCTGACTTGCCATGTGACAGATATCCGTGTCCGTCAGGCAGTACGGGAATGGCTGGGAAGAGTGGGCCGAGTTTACGATATCATCATTTAAACCAAGCAGTGCTCTGTTGCAAAGGGCAAAAGGCATTCAAGGTATACAGCAAAGAAGCATTTGGGGTTCATTAGTTGCCTATTTGTTGGTCGTAAATTAAGAAACAATGAGCTTGTTGATTTATGTCATCCACTTGAGATTGTGTGTTCCTCGCTCACACTAGCAAAGGAGGCAAAACATGAGTCTGTCCAAGTGTCTGGCATAGCCCCAGAACCCAGAAACTACCAGTAAGTCAGGCTGGTACCTGAAGGGGTGATAGATTTCAGTACCCTTCATTTTAATTCAAATTTGCGACGGTGGGAGCCACAAGAAACTGCAGCAGAACTTCCACACTTGCAATTAGCTGTGAATGCAACTGTCATGTGGATGTCAAACCAGGTCAGTAAGCCATGTAACTTAAATAAATAAATAAATGAATAAATAAATAAATAAATAAATGCAAGTCGGGAAAAAGATGGAGCTGTATGACAAGTAAAAATGTGACACTTTTTAGGATAACATTTTCCCTTCAAAAATTAGCATGAGAGAGGATAGGCAACTAAAGACTATTATAGTAACCATATACATCACTTACTAAAGAAAGTGGAAATTTATTTTGCTCCAAGAAGAGCCTTTGAAGTCTGGTCACATTTGGAGTAGCTAAAGTATTCCAGGTCTAAAACTGGTGAACCAAGCACAGACTATTCATCCTTTCATTGCTCTTGTGGAGTATTGCTTGAAGAGAAATGGCACTGTCAAGCTGCCCTCTCTCCAGTGCTACCCTGGCTGCCTCTTCAGCTGTGCCTACAGCTGACCACTTTTTCACAGGTCAAATTCCCCCTAAGGGCAAAAGGGAAGTTCGTTTTGTGTTTCCTGTGAAGCCGTGGGGAAGACACACCACAGAATAAATACCAGCATGTGCTGGTATGCAGCATTCAACTAAGCAGAGTAGGGATAAAGTGTTCCAGTTTAAGCAACACTGTGGCTATGATTCTACTGGAAATTCGTTTGCTTATATAGAGCTGCTGTAGCCAGGAACACCCTTATCACCTTTGTTAAATGTAGCCTATCATTTCACATTGAGCTGAAGCAAGATGGAAAATAGTCTGAAAGTCTTTCCTGTTTCTCTCCCATTTCTTACCTGCTGCTGTAAATAGAAAGGGACAGATCCTCATGGAGGTACATCCCCCTCTGTGCAGCACTCCTATAGGGACTACTGCAATTTGCTGTTATTAGTAAGAGGGAGGAGAAGGGGAAGGATTGACTATTGTGTTGTCAAATGCATATGTGATGCTCTTCGCACTAGACACAGCAAAGGGTTACCTTGCTGCACAAGTTATGTCACGGCCCCTGGGACATTCCATCTCGAACTCCCATGCCACATAATTTGTTGATCAGAGTTGAAATTACTTGTTGAAAAGAAGTTGATTTTTAATCTTTGGTGACCCCTTAATGCTGTTCTCCCAAGACTTTTAAAATGTGCATACCAACTAAATATACAGCTTCAGTCCCTGCTCCAAAGCATTCTAAAAATGTCATCTCTTTATATCAGGCCTAGATTTTGCACAACTAACTGCTTTTAGCATCTTAAACCTAGAAAAACCAAGGGAGCCAAGAGGCTTCGCTGAACAGCCATCGCCCAAGCTGCTGTGTTTACAAAGAGCCTGCCACTATGTTCCTGCCTTTTCCCTCTGTTGCCTGCTTTCCATTTGTCACCTGTTAGACTTGTGCAGGGAATATTTGTCCCATAAATTTCTGTAGTGTCAGTCATGCTGTTTCCCTTTCTTTCAAAACTTCTCTTTGCTAAACTGTTTAGAGGACATAAAAGTTCCATAAAAACAACTCTTTCCTAACACCTAAGCTGAATTTATAAATGACCAACAATTTTTTCAATTGTCAGTTTTCTCCCAACAGTTTAACCTTGGTGACAGGTTAGATTAGCCTTTGGTATCTGGGAGAGTTGTAGCACAGTTTGAGTTCTGTTACCATGTCCTTCTTATACATCTTTAGGTAAAGAGTGCTTATATTTTTTGTGCAAGTTTTTACTGGGCATCTATATAGAACCGGTTTTAAAGCCATACATTAGTTAGGCAACAGCCAAAATCAGAATAATAAACCAAATGCAAAACAGGTCTTGATTATTTAAAATATTCAGGTTTTCATTATAAATTTCATTATAATTATAATGCATTTATAATGAAAACAGGTTTTCATTATAAATGCATTGAATGGATGCAGATCCTTGTGGTACTGATCTAAAACTAAAGAAAATCCCTAAATTATGTTGGGGTACTAAAATTGGCAGCAGTACTGGTGAAATCACCCAGGACTACCGAAGAGGCCCTAGTATCTAGGAAACACTATGGTTATGTGTTCTGGTTGCAATACGAAATACTTCTGCAAAACAGAAAAAAAGCTCTAGGAGTGACAATACCACTACCACCTCTCTCAAGTCACGAACAGTATAACCTAGTGTTAGCTGATTAGCCACCATCTTGACCTAAAATATAATTTTGTTTCAACTATTTACAGTACAACTACCATACTGGAAAATGAGGAGTAGATTTGCTATACTGCTGTTGCCCTGTTTTAAACATTGTCCTTCAAATTGTGCACCAAGTGCCCATTGTCACCCTCAGTGCCTTTTCTTATTAACACCTCTCCATAAGAGGTCATGAGTAACTTTGAGTAATTCCAGAAATGTGATTTAAAAGGAGGGGTGTGGGGTTTGAAACAGCAAGCTTTACATAGGAAAATTCAGCATGTGCTGCTCTTCTTTATGTGTTAAATGATAAGCAGGTAAGGAGAGCAGCCCAGGGCCACTTCAGTAATCATTAATCTGAGATGTAGAAGCCTGATGCACCTTCAAATTATAAACAAATAAAAAAATTGAGTTAGTTCATTGGATTCTCAGCAATTTTTTGCTAGTTTAGCCATAGACATCAGCAAGCCCCAAAGAAGTAGAACAATAAACGCGTGAAGTCACTATTTCATAGATCTGTATGATCTGTTTCATGCCTCATGGCTGCCAGCGTGATACCTTCCAACCTCAAGCTTTTAGCCCAAAGGAGGAGTCTGCCAGGACAGTCCCAGGAAAAGGTGACTGGCATCAGCCTGTCATAAGCTTCAGGAGGGGATTCCCAAACATCCCAGTCATGTCCAGCTACGTGTCCATGCTACAGCAGCTTTTCTGCTTTCCACTTGTGAGTGGGGAAGCACCTCAATCAGTAGCACAAAGTAGCCCTTGTATCCACACGTGTAAGTCTTTCTCACACATATAACCCATTCAAATCCTCACTTATAGCTCTATAACCTAATGCATGAGCTAACAGCAGCATCTTGGCAGCTTTACTGTGGTGGCTTGACATCCTTCTCAGGTACCAGAGCTGCACCTCTGCTGCCTTTGCCTAATTCACACTGCCCTCCTCAGGGTCACTGCAGCAAGCAGAGGCAAGGACATCTCGTTTTCAAATCTTGTAGGCAACCACTAACAGAGAAAGTTGCTGTTGTCCATCATCAACTACCTTTAAGCACATGAAATAGCTCATCACTGTGCAAATATTTAAAGCGGACAAAAGCAGAGCACTCATCAAGAAAGTGATCCTTCTCTTACATACCAGAAGCAAGGTTTGACCCAAACTTACATGGTCTCAGGCCATTGCATGTGTTTGCACTTTATTCTGTACTGTGAACATATGCAGACGTATGAGATGATTGATCCGTGTATCTACAGATACCTGTAGCTCCAGTCACTATCATATTCTGAGCATTCAGCAGATTTACAGAGAGCTATCCACATTAGTAATATGTTTATCATGCTGTCCAAGTGCTTATATCACACCAGCACTGGTTAATGCAGTTACTCTGGTACATTTTCTGAGCATTCATCAGCCATAGAATTACTACCACTATCTTTTGGTTAACATGCTTTCTTAGGATACAGATTTAATATTTTCCTGGGGATAAACACTCATGTGAGAATAACTGACTTAATTTAGCATCTAGAAAGAATTACTAGGAAAAGATTTAGGCAAAACTTTCCTTGTACAACTCCAAGCACAGGCAACACAGTTTTTTGCCTCATCACGGATAAAAAATTCATGTCCTCTGCGCTATGGCTGGCTCATGACAAGGCCAAGCACAGTTTACACCTGTGACTTGTAAGGTGCTTTGCCTTTCAGGTTGAGCTTCGAGGCTTTTTTAAAACCTAAACCTTAACTGTAAAATTCACTGACAAATTGTCGCTCGCCAAAGATATAACCCCCACCTCTAAGTACCTTACCTTACTGTGTGTAATCATCATCTGTACTTGATACAGCAGCATTTCAATGTTGGTATTGACACTTCAGAGCTTGGCACAGCACTGGCATGAGACCAAGAGGCAAACAAACTAGCAAGTAGAGAGATCCAGCTCCATGTGCTGCCTGCACTTTGTACCTTTCTTCACAGGTTAGACCCACATTCAAAGTGCCAAAGCTGTTGAAATCAATGGAAGTTAAGTACCTAGACATCTTTACCACTCAGGACTCGGTCCTTGAATCCTTTAGTCTCTACATACGGGTTTACAAGTTCTCAGGAAAGGGTAAGTCCTGTACAGTTCCTTGCATCACCCCTTCTGCTGCTGTCCCCTATACAGCTCCTGCTTGAAGAATCCACAGGAACCAGCACATAGTCCCATGCATCCCAGTGCTGCAAAATTGGAACCTTCGCTTTTGCACAGATCCAGTAGGAGGCTGACCCAAACAAGCCAAAATGTTTTATTTTTTTACCTAGCTCCTCATCTGTGTAGAAGCCACTTGAGAAATTGAGCATGTGGTTTGGTTATTGTCACCTTTAGCAATCCATTCTAGACATGCCATTTCTCAGTGATAAATTGTTTTTAATTCTCAAAAAAAGGGAATTGCTCTCTTTTTTTTTCTGCTTTTGTACTAAGATCATGTTTAAGCAGGCTACTTACTCATTACTCCAGTTACAGTCATTTATGAAAAGACCTGTGTACAGGGCTAATCATGGCATATGACAAAAAAAAAACCCCTAACTGTATTTTGTAAGTATAAAAGGACCAAGTTACCATAGCACAGAAGCACAAATGTTGGATTTTATGCAATACAGATAACAGCATCTGGCAGCTAGTGATCCCTCTTCACTGAAACTCCCTATTTTGAGTGGAGTTTCTATAGGGATATGACTAAAGGGTCTCTTAGTGGCCCTCACCAGCAACACACCTGGAACTCCAGGAAGTTGTACAGCTGCAAGGAAGAAGTCGTATATCCTCTTTCTGTTGTTTCACTAATCCCCCTCAGAACATATACTTAATATGTGACACTAATAAACTAAACAGACAGATTTGGCCAAACATGCAGTGCTGGCTATTTAAAAATACAAAATTAAAACACACA